TCAATATCTTATATAATAAATTATATGCAGACATTCTGTTTACATAAACAGTTTTTCTGGCACACTACTGTCCCTAACAAGGTTTGACTGGAGAACTTTGTGTGGCTATTCAAAAATAAAGATAGATCTATAAATGATCCCTGTCAAAAAAAATTTTTTTCATTCTTTCATATTGGCTATGCCACCAAGTAAAAGCCAAATATATATATATATTTTTTTCATTTACACTTATTTTTGCACCTCTTTTCTCTCCTTCCCGTGGCCGCCTTGTCTTTCATTCCGCTTTCTGTGTCTCCCTCGATGGAGAGGAAAGGCTCTTTGCCTCTAATTGCGGCTGTTCCGTTGCCATGGCGCGTGTTGCTTGGCGCTGCGAGGTGCTGCGTGTGTGTGCGTATGCGTGTGTGGCAGGCAGATGATTGCTTGCTGCCAGCTCTCGTTTCCCGGACGCCGATCGCGTTTCTTTGCAGCAGCGGGGGAAAAAAATGAGACACCAGAAATAGCCCCTCTTTTACACAGCCCTCCTCACTCTCTGGGCTGGCAGAAAGGCACACACACAGCAGACTCACACACAGCAGACACGCGCACACACAGCAGACGCAGACACGCACACACAGCAGACGCACACACAGCAGACGCACACACAGCAGACACCCACATTGACAGTGTTTCCTCTCCACCTGACACCCGAGCACAGACAAGAAGAGGTCTCCTGTTAGCTCTCACCTCTGTCAATGCGCTGTAGTGTGCATTAGTTTGCATTGGTCTAGCCTCCTTAATCTGCATATTGTGTTTTTTTTTCTTTTGATTGTAAAAGACAATTACTATTCAGATTTTTTTCGTAATAACGTTTGAAGTATCTGTGCATAAGCTGACTGCTTCTTCACTGTGATGGATCCGGTGGGCTATTCTAGCCCTACTGTTGGGTTAGAATCACCCAACAGTTTGATTTGTTCATAATTTTATGCAAAACGCATAAATAATAAAAGGCTGCATTTAGCGATGATATCGATCTGGATATCACCAGGGTCGTTTTAGGAAAAAATAGATGAATGGCAATAATTCCTGCTTTTTTCTGCATTTTCGGATGCTATAGGCAGTTTTTTGTTTTGATGCTTTGTCCTTTTTTTATAAAATTTTTGGGGATCCACTTAAAATGGTGGTGTGTATTACCACTGTAACTTGTTCTATAACTGCTTATATTTACAGTTGGCAAACTGCTGTCAGAGAGAGCCTGAACACATCTCAAATCCTTTACAAACAGCACGCAAAGAATAAACAGTGCAAATTTGGATCTTCAGCTCTGTGGACATACAGGTTGTAAAGTCTGTGTAACTTCAACATTAACTATAAAAAAGACAAAGTCACTTGGGAACAGGGAGTGTGCAGTCCAAGTCCTCAGGGGAGATGTGCTGGCCCCTGTTGAGCCCATATGATTTAACATCCATCCATCTTCTTTTCCTTTTTGTCCATTTTTGGGTCTGGGGTTGGCAATCAGCTGACACCCAATTCGCTTTGCAGAAACACACCAGAAATGCCTGAAACCCACTGTTGCACTTCAGGTGATATGTACATTTTCAATAATAGTTTAAACAAAACAAAAAAAACAAAAAAAGAGGGGGGGTGAGCCTTTTAAATTAAGCATCTGTTTTGGAAAGCTGCCAGTAATTCAAGAAGATGGTCTTCTTGATCTAATGGGAAAACAATATATTGGCTCCTTTTCCTTCAAACAAATGGTTCATTTGACCTCCTCCTAAGTATGGAGCTGGACTTCCGTGATCGTCTGTTCAGCCACCATGGCCATTTGCATCACCTTCCTCACACTAATCTGGAGTTGAGGGATGTGCACAGTTGGATTCACTTGCTAATAGATCAATAAAAGACATTAGTAACTGGCTACCCCAGCAAGCATCACTAATACAGGGTTAATCCAGGGTTAATGGCTGAGCAGCATCCTTCTTGGAGGCTGCTGTTCTGTTCAGCTATACCACACAATATCAGGTTTTTATCCTAGTAGTATTGGCTGATACATTTAATTGATTTGATTCATCTTGTTTAAAAAGTGTAAAAATCAAAGATTGATTTTCTTTGTTGCACCTCGGCCCTTTGGTGTTTCCACCTTTCGAGGCTTTGATATGAAGCAGGGTGTACAACAGGACAGTACACAAAATAAATCTGAATCAGAATCATTTTTATTTTTATTGCCACGTAAGTAACAGGAAGTCACAGACTTGGAAATTGCTTTGGCTCAGTGCAACAGTCAGAAAGAGATAATAAAAATAAAGAATAAAAAACACTTCTAAGGAATAAATTTAAGTCTAAAATAGTTACAGTTACTATTTACAATATACAAGTGCACGTGGTGCACACAATGTAAGGTAAAGGCTGTCCTCTTATTTGTGGCAGACCTAATGCTGACTAAGGGCACGATCACATAGGTTTTCACAAACAAACTTGGATCTAGGATCGTCGCCACAGGGGTGTGAAGACTGCCCGCGGTCAGAAAGGTTCTTTTTTTTCCACCGTGCCAGACCAAATGTGCCATAGTTCAACGCTCGGTTCAACTGGTGGCGCTAATGCTAACTTCAGCGACTACCTCAGGGCTCGAGTTAAGTTCCCGTTTCTCTTCCTGGTTACACTAGGCTGCTATGGCCAACCAGCTCTGGCATGGGTCCACAGTAGTGAACATTTTCCTGTTTATGTTAAATTACTCAATCAATCCATCAATAATCCACCAAACACACATTCGTACATACACATGTTTTGAAAAGGGTTTAGATAAAGCAGATTCTACAAAATATAACCGTAGAAAAGACACTACAATATCAGGGTATAGACACATTGAATGTTTGTCTACATGTGGTGATGTTGCTTATGTGCTGTGAACCTGGAGTGTGAGTGTAATCTTGGTATCTAGTCCTGGGCCATGAGGATTATTCTACAGAGGGGCAAAAAAAGTATTTAGTCAGCCACCGATTGTGCAAGTTCTCCCACTTAAAATAATGATGATAATAATGGTCTGTAATTTTCATCATAGGTACACTTCAACTGTGAGAGACAGAATGTGAAAAAAAAATCCAGGAATTCACATTGTAGGATTTTTAAAGAATTTATTTGTATATTATTGTGGAAAATAAGTATTTGGTCAATAACAAAAAATCCACTCAATACTTTGTAATATAACCTTTGTTGGCAATAACAGAGGTCAAACAATTACTATAGGTCTTTACCAGGTTTGCACACACAGTAGCTGGTATTTTGGCCCATTCCTCCATGCAGATCTTCTCAAGAGCTGTGATGTTTTGGGGCTGTCGCCGAGCAACACGGACTTTCAACTCACTCCACAGATTTTCAATGGGGTTGAGGTCTGGAGACTGGCTAGGCCACTCCAGGACTTTCAAATGCTTCTTACGGAGCCACTCCTTCATTGCCCGGGCGGTGTGTTTGGGATCATTGTCATGCTGGAAGACCCAGCCACGTTTCATCGAGTTGAGTTTATACCAAACAGTTCTACTTTGGATTCATCTGACCACATGACATTCTCCCAATCCTCTGCTGTATCATCCATGTGCTCTCTGGCAAACTTCAGACGGGCCTGGACATGCACTGGCTTCAGCAGGGGGACACGTCTGGCACTGCAGGATTTGATTCCCTGTCGTTGTAGTGTGTTACTGATGGTAACCTTTGTTACTTTGGTCCCAGTTCTCTGCAGGTCATTCACCAGGTCCCCCCGTGTGGTTCTGGGATTTTTGATCACCGTTCTCATGATCATTTTGACCCACGGGATGAGATCTTGCGTGGAGCCCTAGATTGAGGGAGATTTTCAGTGGTCTTGTATGTCTTCCATTTTCTGATAATTGCTCCCAAAGTTGATTTGTTCACACCGAGCTGCTTGCCTATTGTAGATTCACTCTTCCCAGTCTGGTGCAGGTCTACAATTCTTTTCCTGGTGTCCTTCGACAGCTCTGTGGTCTTGGCCATAGTGGAGTTTGGAGTCTGACTGTTTGAGGCTGTGGACAGGTGTCTTTTATACAGATAAGGAGTTCAAACAGGTGCCATTAACTTCTTAAAGAAGAAGTTACAGGTCTGTGAGAGCCAGAGATCTTCCTTGTTTGAAGTGACCAAATACTTATTTTCCACCATAATTTACAAATAAATTATTTAAAAATCCTACAATGTGAATGTCTGGATTTTTTTTTCACATTCTGTCTCTCACAGTTGAAGTGTACCTATGAGGAAAATTACAGACCTCTGTCACAATTTTAAGTGGGAGAACTTGCACAATTGGTGGCTGATTAAATACTTTTTTGACCCACTGTACCTTGCATTGGAGGAAATACCAAGTTCTTTTTCTAACTTCGTTCGGTGTTTCACTATGGGAATCGCCTTGGGCGTGACCATCCATGGAAGCTCCAATGGCACCACGTCTGTCTTTTGACAGACAGGTTGACAGTACCTACCACCGCCCACCTACCCTGGTACAGTCAACCTCCTCCTTTTGGAATCATTCTCGCTTTCTTCCCGCGTGGAAACCATATCTTTTAGCTCCTTCAGCGTTCTCGGACCTTAGGCTAGCTTCTGCTTAACAGTTCACAGACGAGCCGTAAAGGATTTCGTTGACGAGCGCAGTTGCTGGTGCTTTGGTTCACCGACGCTGGGTAAGTCCTTACAGTCTTACCGCTAAGCTATTATTATTTTGTTACCGGAGCAGTGACCGCGTCAAGGCGAACTGCTCTTGTGTTTACGGGGACAGATCACATTAAGTTGCGGTCTGTCCTATCACCTTGCGGTTAGCATTCACTTGTTAACCCAGGGCTCTCGCGTAAAGCGGAGTCCTTCTGTTCGGTTGGTTAGTATTAATCTACTGGCCAACAGATTGTAGTGCGCGGTTCTGTTAACGTGTTGTGGCGAACAGAATTTGCCTGGACCTGATTTTTCGACTTAAAACCCGAATTGTCTGGTTCATACAATCGTGCTCACTCCAGCTCTGCTCTCTGTCAGGCATGTCTACGGCTACCACCCCCGCCAAAGGGTCGGATCCGAAGCCGAAGGAGGCTGCATCCCGCTCATGCCCTGCGTCATGCGGGTCTGCCATCTCAGGCAGGGACCCTCACCCAATGTGCATAACCTGCATGGGCGCTAAACACGCTCAGGCAGCGCTCGCTGACCGTGAGTCCTGCGGGTATTGCTCATCTATGCCTGAGAAAATATTGGAGAGGAGGCTCAGAGTTGCGGTGGCTCATCCCCAGGACCCGTTGCTGGCGGGGACCACCGATAAACCCACAGCCGACACTCAACAGCCCCGTAAGAGTGAACTATGGTCAGATATGCTGAATGACGATGACGCTGATATGCCGCCATTATTCGAGGACCTGCTCGAAGTGGACCCAGGCGACGAGGGCGCAGACGGCGATGATGCCGCTTCTGACTTCCTCGAGGCTGTGGATATGGATGATGTGGAGGAGGACTCTACATTCCCAGCGGCCCAGTCCCGACCCTCCAGCGCATCTGAGGCTGCGACTCCCGTCGATAGCAGCCTATATGATGTGTGCAAGCGCGCTGCCGCCAAGCTTAACATAACCTGGCCAGCCGCTGTAGATGCGGAGGATGGGGAAAGGGATTTATATGACGGTAAACGGCTCCCGCCAGCGCATCCACCTCCGAAGCAACTTCTCCCTGCTGTCAGCGCGTGCATGAGAGAGGTGGGGAGGTTTTGGAATAACCCACTTAGGAGCAAGCTTCCTGTACAGGGCTATTCAAAGCTGGAGATCCATGGGATGAGGGAGCTGGGGTTGGCCGAACCCCCAGCGGTGGAGCCTTCAGTGGCTTTTCACCTCCATCCTAATCGCCGTTCCGTCTCAGCCTCAAGTCAGGTTTCCCTGCCCACAAAATCAGAGAGAGTTACATCCTCCATTCTGCAACGCATGTACAGATATGCTTCTCAATCTGCATGCGTACTGAATACTGTGACTTTACTGTCCGGTTATCAAGGGGAACTACTTGAGGAAATGGGACAACAGCTGGACTCCGGGTCTCCTAACCCGGTCCTCTGGGAGGAAATCTGCGTGGTAAATGACCTCATCCTACGCTCTACTCGTGGAGCTGTCCAGGGCTGCGGCCATGTCATGGGACTGGCCGTAGCGGGTGAGAGGGGTCTATGGCTCAACCACTCAGGTCTGACAGACACTCAGAAGGCTGAAGTTATGGACAGTACTTATGACCCTACCAAAGGTCTATTTGGTCCGGCCCTGGAGAAGATGAAGGAGACCAGTACCCTCCGTAAAGAGGAGGGTGCGGCCTTTAATCTTTGTCTGCCAAGGAAACAACCTCCTCGTCCAGCGCAGCCCCAGAGAGCGGGCCCCTCTGGACAGACAGGCCCCAGGGTTCCCAGGGCGGGCCCTGGGCCGCAGAGGGGGGCAACCCAGCACCCTGGCCAGCATTCCAACCAGCATTCTGGCCAGCAGCAACGGCCAGGCAACTCCAGACCATGGGGAAAACACTCCTATGCTGCGGCTGCAGCAAAAAACCGCTCTTCTCAGCCCGGGGAGAGCAAAAAGAAGCGCAATTCCTAGCAATCAAGCTTCTCCACCTGTTCCCCCTCTGAAAAGGAGGAGAATGGACCCTGGTACCAGTTCAGAGGCCCCACACAGTTCTCCAGGCGACCTCTCTGGCTTTCTCTCCCCTCGCACGTTACAGGGAATGAGTCTTGGATCTCATGTTCACAAAACACTTTTTCAAAAAAAAATAAAGTTGTTAAACTCGCATCCAGGCCAAGGGCTAAGGGTGAGTTATCAATCAAACAAAAAAATTCAATTAAGTTTGGATCATTCCCTTCGTTCGCCTCCAGAGGGAGCTCACGCTCCTTCTCAGGCAGAAGGCTCTGCTCCTCTCAGGGGAGTGACGTCACCAGGGATTCCCCTGGTGCAAGCCCCACTCTCTGTCAGAGCGGAGCAGTGGCGCGCATGCGCAGTCAATCCTTGGGTTCAATCCACTGTTTCTCGAGGTTACAGACTGCAGTTTGCTATAAAACCACCCTCCTTCAACGGAGTACTTGTTTCAGTGGCTTCAGGGGACGCAGCCCGTGTCTTACAGGACGAAATTACATCCCTGTTAAGCAAGCACGCTATCCGCATTGTACCAGAGAGCGAGTCTCAGCTGGGCTTCTACTCCCGCTACTTTCTGGTTCCAAAGAAGGGCTCTCTGTCACTGCGTCCCATTCTAGACCTCCGTGTTTTGAACACACATCTACGGAGATTCAGATTCAAAATGTTGACGCACAAAGCTCTGTGTCGTTCAATACGCAAGGGGGATTGGTTCACCACAATCGATCTTGCGGATGCATATTTCCACATCGAGGTGCATCCAGCGCACAGGAAATTTCTCCGTTTTGCTCACGGGGGAACAGCGTACGAGTACCAGGTTATTCCCTTCGGTCTCTCCCTAGCCCCACGGGTGTTCACCACTTGTGTGGAGGCAGCTCTGGCTCCTCTCCGGGCCAGGGGAATACGGATATTCTCTTATATAGACGATTATCTGATATGCGCCAGTTCACAGGGCGCCGCAGTGAGAGAGACTGCCACAGTGCTCAGTCACTTGACCAGCCTGGGTTTCAGAATAAACCACGCAAAGAGCCGGTTGGAACCCAGACAGCAGACTCAATACCTGGGTTTATGCATAAACTCTGTTTCACATCGCGCCACACTGACAGACGAGAGACGGCTGTCTCTCACTCGCTGCTTGCCGTTTTTCAACCCGGGTGCGACAGTCACGTTCAGAACGTGCCTGCGCCTCGCTGGTCTCATGGCGTCAGTAATATCTGTCGTGCGCCTAGGGCTTTTAATGATGAGACCATTTCAACGTTGGATCACAGCGTTGCGCTTGTGTCCCAAACGTCACCTTCACCGCAGCGTGAAGGTGGATTCCCAGTGTGTTATTGCACTACGTCCGTGGCGGGAGGCTCATCATGCTCTTTCAGCCGGAGTCCCGCTGGGCGCCGTGTCGTCAAGGGTTACCCTGACAACCGACGCTTCCCTGTCAGGGTGGGGGGCCACTCTGTCGGGTCGGACGGTGAATGGGACCTGGGACCCACATTTAGCCCAGAGGCACATCAATGTGCTGGAACTTTGGGCGGTGTATCTAGCTCTGAAGCATTTTCTGCCTTTCCTTCAGGACCATCACGTTCTGGTGAGAACAGACAATGCAACAGTTGTCTCGTACATAAATCGCCAGGGTGGTACCCGCTCTCTTCAGCTGCACAGGCTGGCACAGAGGGTGATTTTGTGGAGCGACACAAGGTTCCTATCTCTCCGAGCGTCTTATGTTCCAGGCGTCCTCAACAAGGGGGCCGACCTGCTATCGAGGGAAAACCCCCTATACGGAGAGTGGGTTCTCCACCCTCAGGTGGTGGAGCAGTTGTGGCGGAGATACGGTCGGGCTGCCGTAGATCTCTTCGCCTCGCGGGAAAACGCAAAGTTCCCACTGTTCTTCTCTCTGGGAGACGCAAACGCGTCTCTGGGCGTGGACGCTCTGGCCCACCCGTGGCCGACCGTTCTACTATATGCGTTTCCTCCCATCAGTCTGATCTCACCCACCCTAGCGCGGGTGAGAGAACAGAGGCTGTCGCTCATTTTGATTGCTCCCCGTTGGTTGTCCAAGCCATGGATGGCGGAGATAGTGCAGCTTTCATGGGACAACCCATGGCCTCTTCCTCTGCGGAGGGACCTGTTGTGCCAGGCGGGCGGGGAGATTTTTCATCCTCACCCAGACCGGGTGGCTCTCTGGGCCTGGCCCGTGAAAGGTGGAACTTGAACGCCACGGGTCTTCCGGCGCCTGTTATAGATACTATACAGTGTGCTAGGGCCTCCTCCACTCGCTCTTTGTATAGCTGCAAGTGGCGGGTTTTTGAGGAATGGTGTGGGGCTAGACAGATCATCCCGTTCCAATGCTCCGTGTCTGACGTCTTATGTTTTTTACAACATTTGTTAGAAGAGCGTAAAGCTTTTTCTACTATAAAGGTCTATTTGGCTGCCATATCGGCGTGCCACGTGGGTATCGGTGACAAAACTGTGGGACAGCACCCTCTAGTTTGTCGCTTCATGAGGGGTGCACGACGTAAACTTCCAGTGGCTAAGTCCCTGGTTCCCTTGTGGGATTTGTCGGTCGTGCTTTGTCGGTCGTGCTTCATCACCCTTTTGAGCCCTTAGGGGCTGTGGCCTTGAAGTATGTTGCTTATAAGACAGTTCTGCTTCTTGCTCTGACATCTGCAAAGCGCATGAGTAAACTACAGGCTTTTTCTGTCAGCCCCTCGTGTCTGCAGTTTGCGCCGGGGTTATCTAAGGTGCGCTTGCGCCCTAACCCGGCTTTTGTACCAAAGGTGGATTCTGCATATAGCTGCCCTACACTGGAGCTTAATGCCTTCCATCCTCCGCCTTTCTCCTCTGAGGAGGAGCGGCTACTGCACTTTTTGTGCCCAGTGCGCGCGCTGCGGGTATATGTTGACAGGACAGCTGGTTTAAGGAAAGCCGACCAGTTGTTTGTGTCCTGGGCTTCTCCCCATTTGGGAAAGCCGGTGTCCAGTCAGAGGATCTCTCACTGGATTGTGGAGGCAATTTCTCTGGCCTATACTTGCAGGGGTGTAGTTCCACCGCAGGGGTTGAGGGCACACTCCACCAGGGGTGTTGCCAATTCTTGGGCCCTGTTCCGAGGTGTGTCTGTCCAGGATATATGTGCGGCGGCCAGCTGGTCATCGCCGCATACCTTTGTTCGTTTTTATCGACTGGATGTCTCTGGCTCCTCTTTGGCTCAGGTAGTCTTGGAACCAAGTGCTTCTGGTACTGTTTGAGGTCACCGTCTGGCGCCTCGGTGGTCCTTTTGCTTCAGGAGCAGTCCTTGCAATACGGGAGTTGTCCATATCTCCCATAGTGAAACACCGAACGAAGTTAGAAAAAGAACTTAAGGTTACTTAACGTAACCCCGGTTCTTTGATAACAGAGTGAGGTGTTTCACCTTCATTACCCTCCTTGCAAAGCGGTCAGAAAGCGCTTTTGAATGATTCCAAAAGGAGGAGGTTGACTGTACCAGGGTAGGTGGGCGGTGCTAGGTACTGTCAACCTGTCTGTCAAAAGACAGACGTGGTGCCATTGGAGCTTCCATGGATGGTCACGCCCAAGGCGATTCCCATAGTGAAACACCTCACTCTGTTATCAAAGAACCGGGGTTACGTTAAGTAACCTTAAGTTTTATAGAGTCAGGAGAGGTTCCTGTGTAGCTTTTAAATGCTGATACCTGATTTTGGATATACAGAACACGATGACGATGGAACCAAAAACAGATGGCTATCACACATTTAGGTCACTTTTGAGCAGCAGATTGTAGGGATTAGGCTAACAATGTGATAAGAATGAACCAACATGTACTAAATTTCATAGGATAGGAATGACTGCTGTTTTAACTTTTTTTTTTTATGCAAGGTTTCATACAAATTGCGTAACAGATTTTCCTGCATGGACCCCTTTCCTATGGTCACTCACGCCAACTGTGACAATGCATTGGCTTTAGGTGGTTGCAGCTTTTTACAGATAAATCGACAACATGATTATTTCGGCAAAGACATAAGTGGTATATACCTTCGTTGATGTGATCAGAGAAGAGTCTGTGATATTGGTTATGAAAGTTCGGATGAATCCTACAGGCAGCCTTCTTCTCATGTAGCCATTCACCAGGTTTAATCTTCTGGAAACTGAAATCTTTTGTCCATTTGTGCAGCTCATCAATTGACATATATGTACCATAGTGATTTTTCGTGGATACCTTGATAAGAGCTGCTGGCTTCTGCCCTGCATGCATCAACCGTGTGCCAATCTACAGTACATCTAAATCTAGGCAAATATACTTATAATAGGCTTTTTGTTTTCTCTTGTATTTATGGTGATGGCATCTCTATCATGGAATGAGTTATTTAAATTATATGTACGGTGGATAACAATGATGTCTATAGTGGACATCAAATACAATTCCAGTGTCCTTTTTCAACAATATTAATGGCTGTTAATGATATTTGTAACAGTTTCTTAATGTTATATTTAAATTATTCTATTGAAGGATACAATAAGAAAAGATCTGTTGTGTCGTCTCACACAAATAGCTCTTTTCTAGATCAGTACATTTTTTATATATATCATTTCGTAGTAATTTGTGGAGTGTGTGCCCCCTGCTTGGAAAAGCCTGGCCCTCAAAAGTTAAGCAGTACGGGGCCTGGTTAGTAGTGTGATGGGAGACCTTGCCTAGTATGATTGTGGAGTGTGCATGAATGGTTGGTGGTGGTAGGAGGGGCCAATTGTAATTGCCTTCTATGGCACCAAAGAAATTCACACAGGGTTAGAGGCATTGCGGCAAAATGAAAAGATATGACATATCACACTCAGATACAATGCTGTGAAAAGTAAAAAAAAAAACCTGGAACATGACTATAAAAACTCAAAGACCACAACAAACGGAGTGGTTCTGACTGTAAAATAAATAATTATTGATTGCATGGCGATCGAAACCCTTGACGTCGCCGAGGGGTCCTACTCTGCAGTGAAGACACGGCCACTGAGAAGGCAGTTCCTATAGCTGTCCCATCCCCCTCCTTTTACCAGGAACTCCTGCGGTGGAAACGTGACTATAGGTAGCTGCAATGTAGTGGCTGCAGACCCATGTCCGGGCTCATCTTGTTGATGCTTTGTTTGGTTCATACCTGTGGTGCAACATCCAACTCCATTGCAACAGTCCCTCGCTGATTCTCCTGCAGGTCCACGGGAAGATGGCTTCTCTGTCATCGACTATGGCCTTGGTCTTTTAGCAGGGGCTTCAGGCAATGTGGGGTTAAGTGTCTTGCCCAGGGACACAACGACAGTAGATATCTATAGGAGCAGATGACATGGGTCGACCATTGGGTCCAAAGACCTGTGCTCTACCAACTAAGCTACTGTCGCCCCACACTGAAAATGTTTGTTATAATATGCTGACCCTTTACATAACAGCGATAATTATATATATTATACGTGTTCATAAATATTGTGTACAGAATAAAAGTGGTTTCTGGTTGCTTTGACTAAAATTGATTTTAAAATTGAGCCCCTAAATCCTCTAGAGGGGGGGTTGGAAAAACTAAATTTTGGGGGGGTTCGTCTTGTCACCCAGCCCTAAATCCTTTATTTATGCCCCATGCAGGCTCCTGGTGGGTCTATACAGAAATGTCATAGTATTGTTTGAACATGGCTATTAAAGCAGATAAGGCTATATTCAAGATAACCTAAAAGGTATTGGCAAGTGAACTGGAAGCATTCTAACATATGCACAGAATAAAAAAGCAAGGGAAGGATGGCCCAGTGAAAATTGTTGTCAGGAGAAGCAGAAAACTGAGATGAGAGACTGGGGGACAGAAGAGCGGAAGAGAGTTGAGCGCTACACTTCTCCCTGTCCTTGTAAAGTGCTGCGCGCTGTCGTAGCGGCAGCCAAGAATGTGTCAGGCCAGCCGTCTCACGCTGCCTAATGGGCTCTTAAACGCTGATATAAAGCTCACTGGCTCTTTCACCCTCCTCCACTCCTCCCCTCTTCTCCGGTCCTCTCTCCCCCTGCGCTGTTTGCCCGCTCTTATTAACTCTCATTCTCACCCCTTCTCTCATTCTGCCAGTCATTTGTTCAGTTCACGTCTTTCTCTTTTACCCTTGTGTTTTTATTCTGATCTCACATTTGAAGCTTAAGATCTTTAATTAATTAGTCAAATAAAGTGATAGTCGATTGTTTTTTTTTTTGAGTGTTTTTTTTTTACTATTTTAAATGTTGAAAGAGTTGGAGTTTTTGTAATGGATAATACGTTTTTTACTAGTGGCATATCTTATCCTTTAAACATCAATCTGATTTTTGTAATTTTGTTATATTTAATGTATAGTGAAAGACTACTTGAAGGGGACATAAGCAAAATCCTTTTTTCACAGCTTTTGATCATACGCATTAGAGCAATTACGATTACAGAGCATATTTTTGTCCCACAGTGGTCCCACTCATTTCAGTGTTGCAGCGCATAGTACAACAGGAATAGGAAGCACTCAAAACAAGACATCTTTATGATTTAAATATGTTTAGCTGAAACTTAAAAACTTACATTTTTACAGGATAAAACAATACAAAATAAGTACACTATAGAAGAATTAGCAATGGAAGTATACAGATCTAGTTTTGCACATATTTATTACCTACTATAATCCATAAATTTTCTTCCCCTTAATCCATTCTGGGTCGGGGGGGTGGTAGTCAGAGTTGTACCCAGTACATAAAGCACCAGTAGAGCACCAATGCTCTACCAACTGAGCCACTGTCGTTAACATAAGTTTTACAGCCTAAACAGACGTAAGCAGGATTTCGCTTCATTTCTGATTTCTTGAATAATCTGAATCTAGTTAATACATCTTATTATGTTTATTCAAATGTGTTTATATTTGTATTGGACATAAATGGTACTATTTCCTTCCCCAGACTCCACAATGCCATCTATCCGCAGAATCCATCTTTCTCGCTCACGTTACTGCACGTATTATCGGCACCACTTCACGGCTTGGCCAATTCTTTCGTGTTTGGGCTGGACAGAGATTGGTGGAGTCTGCTGAGCCTCACCGGAATGCAGGTATAGTTCATTTGTGTCCTATTATTGCAGTCTTTGTTCCAAATGAACACTCCAGATTTTTTAAATGCACTGTTTATTTTTAACGTCAAGAAGAAGTATTATTTGAGTATGTCTGTTTAATTCATTTCTGGTAAGCTCCACTATACAAGTTTAATTATTCATGTAACTAGTTCCTGTTGACTGAATTTTGACTCCATACATTAGAGCTGAAGATCTTTAGTTTTTATAATTTTGCAAACTAGAGAGCAGCAAATTAGCCCAAGACTAATAGGACCAAAGAGTTCACCACGTTCCCATTGAATTTCCACTCACCTCTCATTCTCTCTCTCCTTCATGCAAAAACACAAATACACACGGGCAAAAGAGAATCACAGACCCGGATCGACATATTTAAAAGTCTCTTAAACCTGCCTCCTATTCATGGAGAGGAGATTAATTAAGTCCGAAATGTAAAGATATACAGTATTCGGCCTCCTTGAACCTTTCAACATTTCGCCACATTTCAGGCTTCAAACATAAAGATATAAAATTTAATTTTTTTGTCAACAAGTGGGACACAATCGTGAAGTGGAATGAAATTTATTGGATAATTTAAACTTTTTTAACAAAAAAAAAACTGAAAAGTGGGGCGTGCAATACTTTGTAGCCTTTTGCTGCAATTACAGCTGCAAGTCGCTTGGGGTATGTCTCTATCAGTTTTGCACATCGAGAGACTGGAATTTTTGCCCATTCTTCCTTGCAAAACAGCTCAAGCTCAGTGAGGTTGGATGGAGAGCGTTTGTGAACAGCAGTCTTCAGCTCTTTCCACAGATTCTCGATTGGATTCAGGTCTGGACTTTGACTTGGCCATTCTAACACCTGGATACGTCTATTTGTGAACCATTCCATTGTAGATTTGGCTTTATGTTTTGGATCATTGTCCTGTTGGAAGATAAATCTCTCCGTCCCAGTCTCAGGTCTTTTGCAGACTCCAACAGGTTTTCTTCCAGAATGGTCCTGTATTTGGCTCCATCCATCTTCCCATCAATTTTAGCCATCTTCCCTGTCCCTGCTGAAGAAAAGCAGGCCCAAACCATGATGCTGCCACCACCATGTTTGAGAGTGGGGATGGTGTGTTCAGGGTGATGAGCTGTGTTGCTTTTACGCCAAACATATTGTTTTGCATTGGGGCCAAAAAGTTCGATTTTGGTTTCATCTGACCAGAGCACCTTCTTCCACATGTTTGGTGTGTCTCCCAGGTGGCTTGTGGCAAACTTTAAACGAGACTTTATGGATATCTTTGAGAAATGGCTTCTGGTTCATCCAGAGTGATCATGGGCCTCTTGGCTGCATCTCTGATCAGTCTTCTCCTTGTTTGAGATGAAAGTTTGGAGGGACGGCCGGGTCTTGGTAGATTTGCAGTGGTCTGATTCTCCTTCCATTTCAATATAATTGCTTGCGCAGTGCTCCTTGAGATGTTTAAAGCTTGGGAAATCTTTTTGTATCCAAATCCGGCTTCAAACTTCTCCACAGCAGTAGCTCGGACCTGCCTGGTGTGTTCCTTTGTCTTCATGGTTCTCTCTGCGCTTTAAACAGAACCCTGAGACTATCAAAGAGCAGGTGCATTTATACGGAGACTTGATTACACACAGGTGCATTCTATTTATCATCATCAGTCATTTAGGACAACATTGGATCATTCAAAGATCCTCACTGAACTTCTGGAGTGAGTTTGCTGCACTGAAAGTAAAGGGGCCGAATAATATTGCACGCCCCACTTTTCAGTTTTTTATTTGTTAAAAAAGTTTAAATTATCCAATAAATTTCGTTCCACTTCACGATTGTGTCCCACTTGTTGTTGATTCATGAGAAAAAATTACATTTTTATATCTTTATGTTTGAAGCCTGAAATGTGGCGAAATGTTTTTAAATATTCTGTCATATGTGTCTATGAACGCAGTCAGGATGTGGCTTGTTCGGTCTATTTACACAGAATTTATGTTAATATATGTGATAGTTAATTATTAAAAAAATAAAGGTTAGAGCACCAAATACAAACAAATATGTGAAATGTCCAAAATGCACCGTCCCCAACAGACTGGGTGCAACCTGACAAAAACGCGGGGAGGGCATGCACTACTGGCCAGGCTGGGTGCGCGTTTCTAAGACAGAAATAAATGATTAAAATAATGGCACAGAGTGTAAATCAGGTCTCCAAGCCTGTCTGTTTATCTGGGGAAAGTCGTATTGCATCCACTCACTGCTCTGTTGGATGCCCTGAAGATGTGAGTCCACTGGTCCATGTTCTTCTGTTTTGTATAGTTCTTTGAGGTGGGTGGTTTTGTGTGTGTCAGTCACCGTGACATTTATTGTGGCTGTCCTCTTGCGCATGCCTGGCATCACCGAGAGCGTGTTGCCTCTGCTGTTCTCAGACAGTGATCTCTCCTCTGCTCTCACGGTGGTGCGCGGCGCCTCTGCAACTATAAGACATAACACTTTCCCCGGGGTTGGCCACTGGCCGTATGGGCATTCTGGGCGTTCCATTAGGGTAGATTATACTTCTTTGTTGGACTCGTTATTTCAATAGATCTATAGTTGGGCTCCTCTTATGAGTCAGCCAATCAGAAAGCTCTTATTTTGCTCTGCAGTGTACCTGCTTTTTTGCACCTACACCCAGACATACAGACAACTGATGAGAAATATGGAAATAAAAATGGAAAATAATAGTTCAGCACAGGGATGTCTGCACACCAGCCAAGACTTCCTTACTTTTGAATGTCTGTCAATTCATTAAATAAAAATGTTTGACTTCCCATGGCAGAGCCAGCCGCAATTATAACTTATTATTCTTTTGTGTGTGCTGAGACGTATAGCTGGTGGTGTTTTGAACATAATGTTTTACATTTTAACTCGTAGAGCGTTAAATAGTATGTTTCAAAGCCTGGGTACTTTTTACATTCTCTATAGAAAATATAGACTTCACTCCTCTCAGCATTGACACATACATGTATGTAGAATTTAGTGTTGAGCAAAGAGCTGTGATTTTGAGTTTGGATCTAGAGCCGTTTTTGACTAGTTGGTTTCTGCAGGGTACTCCTGGAGTACAAAGATGGCCACTGTCTTAAAGTCGTGATTGGACAACCAACCCCTCTTACTTTGTAGATTTTCCAAGTAAAGAAATTCTTACTGTGAGAAATAGCAGAGTGCATGTATAATGTTAACATAAATACGTAACATCCATCCACATCCATCCATTTTCTTCTGCTTCATCCGTTGCTGGGGCAGCCGTCTAATCAGCTGTCTATACTTAACAAGAAAACTAAAATCACATTTCTGCTGACACTTCCTGTTTTCTTCAATTGCTTCTGTCCTATTACTACACAAAAACTGTCCATGAAATTGGCAGCGTGAGGCAGAGATCCAGAGGCTCACGTATTTGGAAATAAGGATTGTAAGATCATGTTCTGGCTGTTCCGACTAGTACATTATATACTTATAGTCAGAAAGATTCAAATTGTGTCAATGTCCTTATCAGTTTAGACCTGACTGTAGCTCATTTAAAAATGAAAATTTAAAATGATAAACTAATATATTCTTACAGCTATAAGAAAGTCTGTATGGATAAACCCTTTCTTCTTCTAGATCTACAGTCATTTTTAACTAATATCCAACATATCGGAGTACAGAATTAACACAAAAATCCAAAAGATATTTGAAATGCAAATGCCAACATATTTATTGCAACCAAGCATTGGAAAATTGTACATTCAAGCTGACTTTGAACCTATACTAAAATCCATTATTTGTTTATTAGATGTTGCTTATTTAGTATCAGAGGTTGTGCTGATAACTTGGATGGGTGGAATGTGTGGTATGACCTTCAACCCAAATGTCAATGTTGCTGCGCTGTTACAGAGGAAAGACAAAGTGAAATAAAATCCTGTGTGCTCTTAAATCAGAGTAAAGGCTGTTTGTGTGTCAGAAAAAGAGCAGAATGGAGCAGAGCATGGATTGTATTCAAGGGGAAGAGAGGCAGAAACAGGCACCAGCCTGCATGTGTGTTCGTGCTCTATCGTGACTAACAGCCGGTTGTTATTCATCTTGGCATCCTACTCCCAGCAGCCCCCACACATCAGGTGTGAGATTGGTGGGGAGAGGAGGCAGGGGAGGTGGAGGGCGTTGTGACAGCGTCAAAACATTCCTCCTCCACAGAACGAATCTGCGCATTCGCTCCAGTCCCCACCTCATCACCCCCCTACCAGCCCGCGAGCGTGCCTCTGTGCATCGTATGTCGCACACACACACACACACACACACATACACACACACACACGCACACACTAACTTTTCCTTCCCATCCTATTTTTTTTGTCCCATCACCCAAAACATAATGGTGGTGGCCGTAGAGGCCGATGGCACAGATTGTTACCTTCTGCAGAGCAAATGATTTTTATTACTTTTATTATTATGGCTTGATTTATGCACTGTCAGCTGTGGGCCCATCCAGACAGGTCTGTGTCTTCCCAAATCAAGTTGTTAAATCAATTGAAATAACCATAAGCAGGATTCTAATCAAGTTGATCTGTCAAAACTATACACACATGAGCCGAATGTCAGGGATATACATGTAATGTGTCTGTTGATATTGTTTTTGTAAAACATTCACAAACATTTCTTCACTTTGTCATTATCTGTGACGTGCGGTGAGGTTGGTGATTGGTGAGGCACTGACTTCATCCCAATCAGATTTACATATTTATCAACAGGACCCACAGAGCGGCTTATTCACAATTTGTTTGGCTACAGCGGAATATAAAACGCAAACGCATGTGAAAAGCACATTTAAAAGTACTTAATTGGTCTCACCTTATAAATGAACTCCATTAACCATTTCAGTTCAGACCAGTTTCATTTTTCAGTCCAGACGATAGTTTGAGCGTAGAAATAAGCCCAGTGAGCTTTAAAAAGTAAAAACAAAGGGCCTTATCCTTTTGCGTTTCGCTAGCTGTCTGCAGCAGACTCTCTGGTGCCTTTTTCTTTCCAGGATTGCAGGAGAGACTCACCTGCCCCCGCTGACCACACGTCACTGGTCATTATTTATTGAACAGATGTGGGAAAAGTGAAAGGGATTATTTCCAAAATGTCTGTATACTGTTTGTATCTCTTTTTCTCTCTTTTCTATACCTTTTGTGATAATCTGAGGCATTCTTCCATCTTTGAGTCCCATCACTGTGCTGCATCTCCCTCCCACATATTACTCTTTCCACTCTCCATCGTCCCCTTTTTGGTTCAGTCTTTGCCTGATATTGATCTACATTCTGACCATACAGTAAAAATGCCTATGGCTGTGCATTATAGCTCACCTCTTGATCTTTTGTCTCAGGCCGAAGCTCCATAATGAGTATCAGTATTGTGGAGTTTACTGAAAGTGGATTTATATAAAATGCAACAAAAACAGTGCTTAAAGGTTCCACATTTCGCTCTTCTTTATCTTCACTGTCCATCCTAAGCAGAGATAATAATTTTGATAAACCATACAACACTCAAAACTTGTGAAATGTTGGCCATTTCTAGCATGGAGGTGATGTCATCTAAATTGAAACTGCTGGATTTGTGCTCCTTCCCGTTAGCCCGCCTCCCCCCACCCGCACGGTGACGTAGCCTCATGCTGACTCTGAGGCAAATAACTACTACTAATAACTACTATACTAATTGTTCAGCTTTCAACAGGTCCATAGTCATTTCAGATTTGACAATAACCTTTTCCCAACAATGGCGATCCGTCACTGTCCCCGATCCAGAATCAGAGCCTAATTATTTCGTTAACAGTGATATATGGCATTGTACTTATAGATTTTGGCTCCTCGTTAGCGTCTTTTATTGCGGTATAGTGTGGTTATTCCGTTGTTCTGGAACAGTCTTTGCTGAAGTGTCACTCGCGGAAAAACATATGTGTTCCAAATTTCAAAGGAAGATCCCCTTGACAAAAAGTCCAGTCACATTTGATTTATTCTCATTTGGGCCAAATACTGTCGTCACATATTTACATCCAATAACACAATTTCTCCAAGTTGACAGTTGTCTATGGGTGGTAGACACGGGACCAAACTAAAATTTACATTTTATGGACCACACGTTGGACTCAAAGAGGCTGCATGCGCCTAGACTGACCATAGACTGTGCTGATTCGCTGTTTCAGCTTCTCCCCGCTGTCAATCACCCCCTGGAGGTGGGCTTCTCGCGTCACAAATTGAATCAAGGCGTTTTGCTGCCTCTCGAGAATGAGAGAGAAAGATCGCTCTCTAACTAAAGCTTGAAGGAATAAATGAAAAATCTACTTTAGGCATGTGTATGAAGGCCAAATAACAGTCATGATGTTTGAAGCATAGAAGCGCAATATGGGACCTTTGATGACTACACTGTGCGTTTTATTTAGTTAAAGACTCATGAATTAAATTGTGACTTTTAAAATCAAATAGTACACAAGTTTGCCACACAATTTTACTTCATTTAAATCCAATGGCCCTTACTTAAAGGTATATAGGAGGATTTTCCCAAATTTGAGGAAAGAACCGCCCTCTCCACTTTTTGAACAAAACTCTCTGGTCTTATTTGACGAGCGCGAATCACCAGAATGATTGACACTTGGGAGGACCAATAGTCTTGATGATCCACCCGGAGGTAGATAATCCTCCTACATACCTTTAACACAACCTTTTGACCAGTTCTTTTACAGATTGTTGTGGCTCTTAGTTTCAGTATTTATTCTGTCCACAAACACTCTGTCTTCCCGATCTGCAAAATAAACAATTACTTTACATGAGCAGAACTTCAACTTGTTTTGGTTCTGGAATGATAACCAGCCCTAGTGTTGTACCTAATATTAACAAATACTTGTCTATGTTTCCCATCTATTAGCTGGCTCTGCAGTCAAGACTCTGTGACAAGGCTCGGATCGGAGAATACCACCTCGGGGCCGTGCGCTACACTCAGGCGGACCTGGCCGACCTCAGCGATGACGAGGACGACGCCAATGTTCTCTTCTACTCCCCCAACATGGCTCTCAAAGACAGAGGACCCTGACAGAGGCTGAAAAGAGTGTGCGTAGAAAAAAAGAGAAGGTGAAGCGCAAAGAGCTTTTCCAAACAGAAACACAACACATTTATACCAAAGCAAGGAGCAGACAGGTTTGGATGTAATTAAAGAATCCCAATCCTTTTCTTATTCTCCTAAATGACTCATAACAGAACAACGTAGTGAGCCAGCTGCGAAGTGCAACTAACATTCTGCTAATGTTAAAGGCACTCTTACAACTCAAAGCAGTTAAATGGTTTAAAACAGGGGTGTCCAAACTTTTTAGTTCATCAGAGTTGACCTGGGGCCGACAACCTGGATTTTAAAAACTGCATTTGAGCTGGATTGACTGGATTCTTGATTTTAAAATGGGTAATGATGCATCCCTATTCACCCCACAGATGCATTTTATTTGGAATGTTGTCAAAGTGTCCCAATGGCATGGTTTAAAAGCAGTGACTTGACTATTGAAAAAAATAACTTCAAACAGTAATGTGTGGAATAATCATTCTACAGAAAGGCAGGCTTGGATACTGAATCAAAAATTCTATTATTAATGAATCCATAGAAACAGGAAATTATCTCCTAACGGCATGAAGTTACATTTAAGAGATCAAACTAGGTAGCACTAATTATCAATTACTTCAAATATAAAAATGCTAAAATGGATTAGAATAAATGGATACAATGCTTCAAAGCAAAGTATTACTCCTATCCATGTTATTCAGCAGTGGGGAGTCTTCTAACCTCCCTTCTATCTAGGACCCTGAAATTAGAAATAATTCGCTCACATTCAGAAGGCTAGAAGAACATAGCACTAGTGTTTTTTGGTACTAATTGTTATGTTTTCAATTTAATTAAGAGACAGCACTAAACCTAAACAGTGATGATCAAATGAAGTAAGGTGTCAATTTTCTTTTTCATTCTTTTTTTTCTCTTTTGTTAGGTAACAATATGGAGATGATACGGGCCACCCTATGGATGCTGCTTGGGCTGAGGTCACACCTCTGATCAGAAAGCTGCCTGAGCTGCACAGATGAGCCACGCACTTTCCAAACACGGAGCCCACGTGGAAAATAAACAGTACCAATACTGGATATCATCTGGTTTTGTGCTGTGTACATGCAGTCAAATCTAAAACCTTGGTATTTAGTGTCTGAACACAGAAGTATTATCTGCAGAGCTGTGGGGGGTGACAAGTATTAGCAGCGGCTGTGAACTCAAAGCTCATTTCTTCTCAAACACAACCTTAAAAACGCTATTTTCACCTTCATTTAACTCATGGTCTGGCTTTTTCTCCTTTTTAATTTTATTAAAAATGGAAATACCCTTTTCTTCTTTTCTATGCTTCACATCAAAAATATGTGGTTCCCAATCACTCATTCAGAATGAGACGAGCTTAGAGTGAGGAACTGGGATGCTTGAATTTTACTTCAACAAAAATGTTTGTTATAGCCGTAACCATGATTTAGCTTGAATTGTACACATTATTTTATATGACTTTAGGTATTAAGTGTGACCTGTGAACAGTGTAACTGACACTTGACCCGCGCCTTAAAGAATAAGCATTAACTTTGATGTTACTCTCCAACACACTGCACTATGTTTCTCTGTGTTTCTTTGTTGAACTTTTTTGCCAGTTCTTGGTTACATTGATTTTGCAATTCATAAAGTGTATTTTACACTTTGCATTTTTTTATATTGACTCTTTGTTTACTCTTGTAATAAATATGAATATCATCAAAGTTTTAAGTGGCTATGGTTATTTATCGCCTTTAGTCCCATTTCCCCTCAACTGGGATATAAGGGTCATAAGGGTTTATTTCTGATGCAAAACAATATTGTACTTACATGTTATACTTGCTCATTTTTCCATTTAAATAATGAATGTTAACCAGGCGGCCTTACAATATGGCATTCGCTAGTCACTTTACCTGCTGATATTGTTACTATTGTTTATTCTGCTCATATTCCCCGCTGCTAAAGTACAATATACACATTTGTTAATACTTCGGAACCAAATGCAATTATATCTCCAAAGTTTATTTTTAATGTATCCTATTTTACTATCTTATTTTAATTCTATTGTCAATTATCTTAACTAATAGACTCTGTTTAATGTGTGCAATCTGAGTGCAATATCTTATTTCCTTCTTTCTCTGATGTAACATGCGCAACAATGACACTGAATTTTCCCCACTATGGGACGAATAAAGGAATATCTTTACTTAACATAGCCTTCTCTACCTTTGGTCTAATCTAGGTTAACTGTAGAGTTTGTGGTCTACCAGTGGTTAACCACAAACTGTAGACCACAGTTTGGTCCATAGACTGTAAATATTAGTATGGTCCCTTGTCTACCATAGACTTTGCTTTTTTTTATTGGCATCATGTCAACTTGGAGAAAATGTGTTTTTTGGATGTAAATATGACTTCATACACAGGGATCTGCCTTTGAAATCCGCGACAAATGTCTTTTTGTGTGAGTGACACTTCACCAAAGACTGTTTGCAGAACTACTGTTACCTCCATCCATTTTCTTACGCTTTATCCATTGCCAAGTTGCAGGGCCAGCAGTCTAGGCAGAGACTCAGACTTCCCTATCCATGCATCTGCAGGGGGAATCTCGAGGCGTTCTCAGGCCAGCAGAGAGACATATCCAACGTGTACTGGGACCTCCCTGGGTTTTCCCCCGGTGGGACGTGCCTGGAGCAACTCCCTAGGGAGGCATCTGGAACCCGAGCCACCTCACCTCTCGACCTGGAGAAGCAGTGGCTCTACTCCAAGCTCCTCCCGTGGGACTCCTCACCCTATCTAGGTAGCACCTGCAGCCACTCTGCAGAGGAAGCTGATTGTAAAAGCTTGTATTTGCCATCTCGTCTTTTCGGTCATTACCCAAAGCTCATCGCCATAGGTGAGGGAGGGATCGAAGATTAACCGGTAAATCGAGAGCTTTGGCTTTTGACTCAGCTCCCTCTTCACCACAACGGTCCAAAGCAGTGAGAGCAACACTGCACACACTGTGATGTAGTCCTGGAGCATCCCGAGACCTAAGATCAGGACGGATCTCATCCACTCCTGGGGCCTTACCAACAAGGAGGCAGCCAACAACCTCAGTGACTTAAGGAGATGGAAGTATTTGTCCCAAGATCCTCGGCCTTTGCTTCCAGACGTGAAGAGTTCATAAAGCTTTGAAATCTTACAACAACATGTTGATATGTGAAAGAATACATGGCTTAGGAGCATGCACATTTTCCAACTCTTTATAACTGAAGTAGTAGAAAGTTTGATTGCTCATGTCCAGGAGTTATAATTTATACAGACAAAAAAATTACAACCCAGATGTTTCAGTTCACGCACGTTGAATTGTTCTGGGGGATAGGTTATTTAGCCTATCCATTATAAATCTCTAAGATTCTGTCAAGTCTTGACGTCTACCCAGACGTGTGTAGACGTGTCAGACATTAGCTGCCCGAATTATAGATATTAATTATTGCTGGACTGCGCTGGCTCTTGCCGTCTTTCCAAATCTGGTTAACGGGATTTTGATTAATGAAATATGCACAGCACATCCTCCAGAAAAGCAGAGCCTCCACAGCAGCTCGTGTCCTAAGCCCCTCCTTATAAAGAGTCTGGGAAATAAGCGAATCTCCTGTCACGCAAGAAGAATTATTATTCCCCCCTCATATCGTCGCATGTGCCGTAATTGGATACAATTTAACACCCGCGGCCCACGGGCATGTCGGCAGGCGCTCTGCCTACTATTAGCTCGCCTCGCTCCCCTATCATTTGTCAGATCTGTGTGCTGCTTCTGCTGCTGCTGCTTCTGCTGCTGCTTCTGCTGCTGCTGCTTCTGCTGCTGCTGCTGAAGCGTGTGCGCGCGGGCCGCGTGTTTGTGTGTTGCGCGCGCAGGGCTTGAGAAACCGAAGCCATTGTTGGAGCCCGGCCATGACCTAGCCGTGACGCACGGAAAGAGAGGAGAGGAAGAGAAGGGAGAGGCGACAGCAGCCCAGACACTAAAAAACAACTGCATAGTCGTCCCTGGTGTGATAACTGTGCTACAATTAGTTTGCATTATGCCCTTCTGCTTTAGGAGCCTCGATAAAGTATGTAGCCTATATGGCGGGAACATGCATGGGCTATGTGCCTATCACGGAAGATCATTCTGCCGAGATTACCAGTGGCTGATTGTATGGGTTTGGGTTTGACTATTGTCCAAATAAACCTATACTTCCCGGAAATATTGCAAATATGGTTGGGAGACTGCTAGGCCTATGGGTTATAGGGTCTAGCAGTCTCAGTGACCCTGACCCTTATATCCTCCGTTGGCGACCACAACATGTGAAACAATGCCTAATTATTTGAAGTGTGGGAATATTAGCTCATAGAACAGTTATAATTAATCTATACATTCTTTGTGGCATAACATGCCATAATTGTACTCTTTAACTCTGATTCTCAATCTAATATGCTGCTTTAAAACTGTGGGCCCAATATTTTGTAATGCATGCGTAGATTAAGACAATAATGTCTTTATTGCCGAGTTCATAAAGGCTACTTGCCATCTCCGTTTCTACACACGCCGTAAGAAGCCGCGCTGTGCAGCGTAGTCTCGCTGCCTTCGCTGCTGTGGGCGCAGTGAGTGAAGCGAGCGAGAGCTGCGATCGCTGCGAAGCGGTGAGGAAAGGGTTAAACTAATCTCTCTGTGCGCACACACAGGCTGCCACCGCCCCAGATAACAGAGGGGCGCCTCTCCCCAGCCAGCCAGCCTCCGCTAATCGCAGTGGCAGGAGGGGGAGTGGAGTGCCGGCGGCCTCTCACAGCGCTGGGCTTTTTATTGACGCTGCCTGTGTTTGTGTGGCACTGATGTTTGCGCACTCGCAAGGACGTGCGCGCTCGGAGTGTGCGTCAGAGCTCCGCGAGAGGCTATAAAGAGCTGGGTGTGCATGTGTGTGCGAGGGTGTGTGCGTGTCTGCGAATGTGTGTGTCTCCGTGTGTGGGTGCAAGTGTGTGTGCGCGGGAAAATGTGTGTGTCTCTGCGTGTATCTGCGCGGGCAAATGTGCGTGTGTGCTTGTGTGTGTGTCTGTGTGTGTGTGTGTGTACGTGTGTCTGCGTGTGTTCCTGAGTGTATACGTGTGTGTGGTGAGTGTGTCTCTGCGTGTGTGTGTGCTTGTGTGTCTGCGTGTATGTGTGTTTGTCTCTGCGTGTATGTGTGCCCCTGCGTGTGTGTGTGTGTGCTTGTGTGTCTGCGTGTGTGTGTGTGTGTGTGTGTGTCTGCCTGCGTGTATGTGTGTGTGTCGCCTCGCCAGCAGCGGAAAGCAGGGAGAGGCGGGGAGCGGGGAGGGTGGGTGGCGAGGTTATGAGCGGAACTCGACCGAGGCCGACAGACGAGTAAGAGGAGGGGGAGTGGGGCTTTTTGTGCTGCGCTGAGAGCCTCGCACACCTCCCTTCCTCAGCGCTTCCCTTTACAAAAAGCAAAGGGTTCGTTTGAAGGCTGTAATATTTAAAAGAACAAGCCTTTTTGGGGAGTTTTATCTCATATAGGCTTCTTCTCTCGTTTACAATCTCCACGCAGGTCTGGATAAGATAAGTGTGATTGATTACATTGGTCCTTTCCTGTCACAAGCACTCCCTGATTGATGGCATCGATGAATTTAGCTGTCTATTGATTAGGGTTTAATCTATAGATCCGTGTCTCTCAGCTATCCAATAATTTCCCCCCACCCCCCACCTCCAGCATATACGCTCGTTTGGCAGAGTCACGCTCGCCCTGCAGAGGCAAGCTGTAATTATCCCGGTGAGGCCCAGCGTGCGCCCGCAGGGGGAGGAGGGAGGGAGGGAGGGGGGGGGGGGGGTGGCTTACGAGCCTACGTGCACGAGAGAGCGCGCGAAAGTTGTGATAGCGTCATACAGTGGGCTTTGCATCAACTTCTCCTATACAACCTTCACTGTTGTTCTTTAAAGCAAGTTATACGCTGTTTGTTTACATGCATGCGTGCGTTATAAGTGTGCGTTTTCTCCAGAATGACCTTATACCACATATAGTCTATCACGTGACAGATCGTCTATTACTCTTTTACTTTTCTTTTTACATTTCCAACATTTCTTTATCTGCTCGTGCATGTTCGGACGTGTGCGTGTGCGTGTGTGCGCAGTAAACGATCTATAACGATGTGCAGGTGGATTGTGCTGATTAGTACCGGCTGCCGCGGACTGAGCTGCGTGCAAAGAGCTTCCTGCAATCCGAGCCAGTTTGCGTGTGCGCGCGAACGTGTGTCAGCGCGTTGGCAGCCAGCCCTTTACAATATGTCAGAGAGCCGCGTGTGAGCTTTCGGGGAGACTTTGAAGACTGCCTGTTTGGTGCTGGAAGCGCTATTTTGCTCCCTGCACTCATTGAGAGATATGGCTGACTTTTTGGACGTTGCATTCTTGCCTATAACAGTTCATATGCAGATATATGACAATTAGGCTGCTCAAGGTGACTTTAGATCAGGGGTCTCCAACCTTTTTTTTTTTATCGAAGAGCTACTTTTTTTACAAACGAAGAGACAGAGAGCTACTCCTTTTTGCATTTAAACATCTATCTAATAATGACAACAAAACATGGAGAACACATATACCATAATGCTGTACCCGTATACATATGTAATGGCTCAAAAAGTATGAATTCAAGATCATTTGCTAAGTTCTGAATCCTTTGGCGAGCTACCTGGAAGGGGCTGGCGAGCTACTGATCCCAAGCCATAGGCTGGAGATCCCTGCTTTAGGTGAATTGTAATTTTAAAACAATGTCACGTTTTTTTATCCTTGACGTGTCGCCTACAGGTACACTTTAACATGAGACAAGGTTATAAATTACTTTATTGCGGGTAATCCGTGAGATCATATGTTGACCTATTTGTGTTATATACAAAGTTCACGTAGTTGTAAATGCAACCATAAAAAAGCGAAGGCTGTGCGGTGTCTCCATGTCATCTGGTGTAACGAGGAATTGTGAGACTTGCAAATAAACAAACACAATATGGTTTCAGTAGGAGATTGTTCGTTTTAGAATGAAAAATAACATTTCAGTCATGATCGTCTCTGGCCTTCAAAAGAATGTAGGCTATATACTGTATCATTTTGTCGCCTTATAACAGCTATACCCGTTTCTGCAAGGGTTGAATGTTTAGCACCGCCCCTCAACTCGCTCACAGGCTTCTCATTTCCCACGGAGCCATCTAGTTTTATTTGTGATCTACAGGCAAACATTAGCATGAGCGCAACTTCGTGTAAGCTGCACAACAATCACTGATCAAATGGTCAGTGAAAAGCAATGGTCAATGGTCAGTGAAAAGCAACGCACTGCTAACAGAATATATAACTGAAAGATTACCGCTAGTTCCGCGTCCGAATGATACACTGAGGCGGACCCGCTCCCGCAGGTCTCTCCAGAGGATACGATGTAAGCTAACTATGTTCACCCGGGCTTGATTTCTTCTTTGATCATTTTCTCGCTTTAGTTCCCTCTTCTCTTCATCACTGTTTGGCTGTTTTGTTGTGTCTGCAGTTACAGCAAGAGGAGTTATAGCCAATTCTGCTAACATGCTACTGTGTTTAGCAGCGCTGTAGAAGCTAGAGGACACAGCCTCGTTCTGTGATTGGAGGAGAGCGGGCGTCACGCTAAAGCCTCTATCCAGCATTATACGGCCTAAATTCATACAAGCTGAATCAACAAGCTCAAGTTTTCGATTCAATTACGGATTATAATACAGTTTGTATTTAGTAATAAGCATTTTTATGAACTCCTAAAAAATAAATAATCGGGTATAGCTTCTTTAAACATTGAGAAAAGCATAGGACTTCAGTGCATTTTAATAGGCTATTGTTTTCTATTGGTGATTATAAATAAATCCAGGAAGGTCGTCATCTTCTTCTGTCTCCAAGAACGCAGCAGCCAGACTTCTCAATGGTTTTTACAGAAGGGAGCACATTACCCCTGTTTTAGCATCCCTCCATTGGCTCTTTGTGCGTTTTAGAATTGATTTTTAAGATTTGTGGGCACTTTTAAAGCTCGCCCTGCAGCCTTGGATCCTCGGGCAGATACCTGTTGGCTATCTGTTACTGCCTGTTACCCGGACAAAGGGAAGTGGAGCCTCCTCGATTCGGGCTCCTCGGCTCTGGAACAATCTGCTCGAGGAAATAAGGCTAGAACCATCACTACCTTCTTTAAATAACTTCTTAAAACCAACTTTTATCGAACGGCCTTCCCTTAACTGTGTGTTGGGATCTTTACGCAGGATTCTGTTCCACATTGTCTTTGTCCTGTTTTTGTTGTTGTGTGTCCCCTGTCTGCTTTACTTTCCTGTGTGTTTTTTGTTGATCGTGTATGTTGTCATTGGCTGTGCACCACTGTGTAAACATTGTTCTTAAAAATGGCTCAACAAATGACAAATGTATGATTATTATAAGAAATAATGCGATGTAAATTATTCATGTTTTACAAACTTCATGTACATAATCCAAGGTCACTTTGCGATCAGTCACTTTTTAAGACACGAGATATAATGTGCCTGCTTGTGTTTATTAATAGTCCCTATTGTCTTGCATCCACATCCATGTGGATAGATTTATTCAACTTCTTTAGTTCTTTTAATTTGCAAGAGTCAGTTCTTATCGGCACGGTTCCCAACGCAGCAGCACAGAGCCGGGCAGGCATGCACACGATACACCTCGGGCTGATACGTGGGAGCTGTAACAGATGTGCCCCAGCCTTGAGCTGCTTCTGCCCCTGAGCTCGCCTCTTTGCACTGCCTCGTGTTCCAAAGAGTTGCTATAGCAGCGAGCAAGAGCACGACAACAACGGTTTGAAACAAAGTGAAGCAAAAATATGATGGACTAGTCATTGTGCTGTTTAGGTCAAACTTCAAGAAATAACATAATATTAAACAGTATTATTTCATATAACATGTTGTATGACTTTATCTTTGCGAACTGTGTGGTCAGTTAGATTGTATAATACTGCTACCTTCCTTTTCTGCTGTTAAATCTCGACCTCAGCGCCGTTTCCCGACTCGCAGCGCAGCTGATGTGTGTGTGCTGAGCCGCTCGATCGCTGTTGGTGTGTCTCTGTGTGTGCGCGGCGTGCACGCGTCGCCCGTGCACGAGCTGGAGGCTTATGGTAATTGCGGTCTCCCGACTGGCCTTCTGGGTAGAGTCTGTGCGAGTGGGAGTGGAAGCGAGTCGCTCGCTCTCAGACAGCGTTCATTTATCCTGCGCACGGCACTCCCCAAACAGCTCCGCGTCCTGGCTGCGGAACGGGGTCTTCGTTCGAGGGGTCATTACTTTTTATCAGGCACGGGACGTATTCACGGAACCAAGTACGGAATAACCTTTGGAAAAGACACAGACTTTGCTGTTTATTCAGATATGGAATGACTACGCGACTGAGAAAGGGGCTTTTTCTGAGGACGGCGTGCTCAAACCCAACATGGCGCTGCTGCGAGGTACGGCAAAGCTGAATCTTTTTTTTCTGCGAATCTTCTGCGATCGAAATTTGTATTATTCCAGTGGCTGACCTATAGCCTATCTTTGCGGAACACTGACAAATCCTTTTGGATGTAATTTTGCGTGATTGTCTTTTTGTTTTTTCTCTCAGACAGGATCACTTTTGTTGTTTTTCGAAGTGACGTTACCAACGTATGAAAGTGTTATTGATCTAAACAAGAGTTGTCAGAAGACACACTTTGAACTCGTAATGTTGTGACCTATTAACTGTTAAACACTTTTCGGCACATTTGTGTGTGGATAAGACCGCACGGTAAATGCCCAGTCTACGCACGGTCCGTTGCACTTGTGTTAAGTTGGAATAGCCTTCTTAAAAAGACCTAACGGCATAAACGGACGGGGATTTAGAAGTCATGACTGAGGTGAGTTCTCTGTGTCATTGCGTTGTCTTTGTGTGTTTGATTAAAGCAGCATTCTGTGGCTCTGACGGCTCTTGTGAAGCACGTCCCCAGTGCAGCGTGTGCGCGGAGTCACCGAGAGGAACGGTCACTTCTAAGAATAGCGCATAGGGTGGTCTTTGTGCGTTTCGGCGGGGCAGTGGCATGTGCGTGATTACTGACGAACCCGGACCGATCCCAACATTACCTTTTACTTTTCCTTATGTCTGTTGGGTAATTATCGCAGGGGCAAGACAGTTACTCTGAGGTTTTCGACAAGAATGCTTCACAAGCCATTCGGAGACAGGAAAGAAGCGAAAATATTCTTCTAATGTGTGACGAGACGTGCGCTGTCTCGGTTTCTATCCGTGTGTGGCTACAGACCGCGCGGGGGAAGGTTGGGGGGAGTGATGTTGTGTCTCAGCGTGTGTGTGTGTGTGTGTCTCTCTCTCTCCCTGTGTGTGTGTGGGCCGTGTTCGTGCGCGCACACGGAGCTTCTGCGCTAAACAAGGTTACGGAATCCAAGCCTCGCCCTGCCAAAGGAAAGCGGACTGCTGCTCCGCGTTAACGGTGTTCCGTTTCAGAGGCATTCCCTCTGTGCGAGCGCATGACAGTTGAGCTTTGTTTGAAGATAGCAGACCCTGATCGCTCATCTCATCAAAGCTACGTGTGTGTCACCTTCTCGTACTTGAAGGAAAGCACAGTGGCACGATGCCAATTCAATCCCTTTGCCATAATCCTCAAGTATTTGCGAGCCACCGACAGCTCCCCTCGACAGTCTGCTGTCCTCGCCGTAGCCTAATTAAACTATGTGTTAAATGATTGATAGTGGAGCCCGCGCTGGCAATGGCATACAACAAACTATTCAAATACAACTGTTCTGGAATAAGGCACGTATGAAGCCACACATGGGCTTCATGCTCTGCTCTATATCTCTCTGGTTCTTTCAGCTGCATGCGACTTGTGTTTAGTGCGAGTGAAAACCCTGCGCTCGGATCCACGTAGACCTTGTTATGGCTTCCCCTCCCCCTTTAGGTCCGACACGCGATGTTTTTTCTCCTTTCCTTTGGATAAAATGAATCACAAGACACACATCTTTAACTTAAAAATACGATTACAGACAGGACGGAAAGTCTCATAGTAAAGTTGTTGTTTGCATTAACTTGCACATATGAAGGAAAGTTTAGGAAAGAATATGTACAATTGTAAAGGTTGTGAGGCAACATGTTGATTTGTACTGGGTTTTCCTACTCTGTGTCTATGCCTACCGGACCACAGTGTATTGAAATCAACCACTTCGAGTGTGCCATGATTTTGTAGGAATAGCTGTATGGGTCATCGTTTGAATATTTACAAATGGCAAGAGTTTTGGACACTGCGAGGCTGCACTTATCATGTGTATTCAACATGCCTACTTTTCTTTGAGCTATAAGACTAAAGCTGTTTGTATAACCCTAATTTGCACGATGCACCTGAAGGCACCACCAGCTGGGAAGCTGCTGAGTGATATTGTCATGCTGAGTGATGTCACTGTGGGGCACTTCGGAGCAGCAATTATAAAACCAACCAGCGGACCGTAGTCATAAGTCTAATCTGCTATTTGTCTGCTTTTTAAGTTGTGTGACGTGCGGAAGAAGGCATTCAGAGACCTGGACCGCAACACTCGCGCTCTCAAATGGATAATAGTAAACTGTGCAATGTGTTTAAAACGGGCGCTTCTTCATAGAACATTCAGCTAATCCATAGTTTTACAACAGTCGTATTTTTCCTCTTGCTGCTGCTTTTTCGCTTCAGGAAATAAAGCGGCAGTAGAGCTGCTGCGGGATCTGCGCTCTGTGCCGAGCTAGGCAGTGTGCGTGTGAACAAAAGCCCCGGAACCACAGAGAGAGGCAGAGGAGAGATCGGTTTTCCAGGCGCTGCGCAGCTCCCTGAGGAGACGTCACGGTTTGATTGAAGCTATGCTCTGCGCTGGCCTCTCGGGACCTTGCGATGAAATGAGAGAGCGTCCCCCTCCCCTCTGTCTTTCACACCACCCAGCTCCTCTCTCCCTCTGCGCTGAACAAAGCTTTTTGTTTCGATTGGAGCGCACAGATCACTTTCCTGCGGAGACGATCCGGCCGTTGCGCGCTTCCCTGCCACCACACACTTCTTAATAGTTTAGACTCCACTTTGCTAATTGCAGATTATAGGTGCGTTATGCAGAGTTAAGTTGCATATTTGCATACAGATTATATGACTTCGTCTGGAATGTTTCAGTAAAGTTTTTAGCCTCTACTTGATGCGAGCTGGTTTGTTAGAAAACACAAAGGTAATGCACCAATTCTTTCTATGGAGAGAGGCCACCCAGCGCATAAATGCATGTGTTCATTCTTATTTTGTTCTCTATTATTTGAGGCAAACACACACACACACACACACACACACACGATGAATTTTATTCTGACAATATATGTGTATATATCTGCTGTAGAGCCTTATAGTGGTTTTATCACTAGTTTTCACACATATTTAGATCAGCTTCTTAGACAGTCTGCCGTCAACTCTCGACCCAAAGCGTCAACTCGTAACTCACAGGGTTCTTACAAGATGAAGACCACATGTTGTGATCTGCCAGGGGTCACTTTCCAAGACTTTCTGTTGGGACTGACAACATTGATTATTTATGGAAAAATAAAGTTAGGTTCTTGGCTGTAAGTGCTGATGAGCATATCGGTGCATTAGTGTCGCCTCTAGTACAATCGGGGTCCGATGCTATAAAGCGTCGTTTAGATCTCATTTGGCAAGAGATGAATGGAGTCAGTTCAGCAGCTCCACCCTGTCCCCGTGACAGCATTATGGGTAGAGGGAGGGACAGGCTTCTCACAATGTTGTCGTTGTCGGAGGAGGAATAGGGTTAGCGCACGCACCCACTTGGATGCTCCTGCTCCGCTGGCCGGGAGGACGCAGCGCTCCTGTGTTTACAGCTTGTTCGCCGAAGTGTCAGCTGAAATACACATGTGCTCTCGGGGCATAGCTCTGCCATCTGCACCTCCTGTGAGATTGGTGAATGTCAGATTGAGACTTTTTGGGATTGTTGCCCATCCATTTACGCCATGTGGTATACATGTATACATATATGCTTTGTTGCATACCATGTTGTAAAGCCGTGTCACTTCTTAGTTTCTTTTATAGACCTATATTTCACTATGTGCAGGTGTTGGTCCGGGACGCGCTTCAACGCGCGTGTTGCGCACATCGTTTCTTCTCCCTGTTCGTGCGGTTTGTGCGCGGCTGCATTTAATCCATGTTTATCCCCACCCCACCCCCGCCGCTCTGAAGATTATCCTGCGTCACAGTGCATTTTTGAGCTGATCGGAGCTCTGTGCAGCGCTTGGTAAAGCTCCAGGGACAAGCGCAGGAGCGCATACGCAGTGGGCGCGTTCGCCAACAGATTCCGGTAGAAGTAGGCTATACTGAGTACTGTGTCTATAACTCACACGATTGGCAGCTATGCACCATACCTGGTCTCTGGCTTTCAGATTTCTATTGTAGGCCTATTCATCAACTCATGGTGGTTATTATGATGTTCTCTTTTTGAGCTTTTCAGTGAGTATTGGCCTGATGGGCAAACCCCCAGACTGTGGGGTTACTTGATTGGACGGTAGGCTTTTAAACTGAGCTGGAGTTGGATCGTACACATGCAGGGATTTGACCTTGGGGATTCAGTTTAGCATCCTTAAAATGTCACTACTGCCCATGTTGTTTTTCTGTCAAACAAAAATAATACCAAAGGATCTTTTGCCAGTATATTTAGTTGCTGCATAGGAGTAGCCCTCAACCCCTACTTTCATGTAAATAACAAATTTGTCAGGTCTTGCAAACTTCTTTAGGAAGAGGGAAGTGGCGGTTTCTTTTCCCTTTTGTGTTTGACTTGAAGATGATAGACACGTGGTTGTGCGTTTGCGCGCTCTCTGTTCACTGAGTTCCGTGTGATGCGGATGTTGTTGAAAGCGGGCCGGCCCCGGGGGAGCTGGGGGAAGGGAGCACGGGCTGGAGAGGCGCTGCTGAGGGGCCGCAGCAGGCTGATTAATGGGCCTTGGGTCACGGCAATAAAAGTGGCGTGCCAGTGGCGCGGCAGCGAGGCTCAGAGGCGTTTCTCCGCGATGATCGAGGAGGGCTGTTCACTGCTGCGCTCAAAGCGGAGAAACAGGACGAGGCAGCACACTTTAGCAGCCTATTTAAGGGGCCTCCCTCCCCCACGAACCTCCCACTTCATTCCTGTCTCAAGCTTTCTCTAAACTGGGTTAGAAAATGTTCGTCAAGAAAAAAAACAACTCGATAGTGGATCGCCATCAACTATACTCTAAGGCTTCTGCTTTTAAATTATTATTTAGATACTCTAAATCTGGATTCGTCCCTCAGTGGGGAAATTTCATTGTCATAGTTGAGCACATAACAGCAGAATAGAAGGAGAAATAAGAGGACAAAGATTATGCACACATCAAACAGGATATATTCTTTTTAACTTGGGTAAAGTAAAGGGTACACTTTAGAAGGGTAAAGTAGAATCGGTCAGCAGAGGTTTGAATATGACAAAATGACACAGATACATTGTCAATTTTATATTCAAAATCAATTTTGATATGATTTATTGGCCTAAATCACAAGTTTTTCGTGTTTTTACACAGATATTGTATACTTTTATTGCCTCTTCTTGCATGTTTTGTCCCCTTCAAAATGTATTGTGTTCTGTTTAACTCAGGAATGGTCTATAAAAACCCTTGAAATAATAAAATTTTAATTACAATTTTACATAACATAACATGAGATTAACCAACTCCATAAATTGCCAACTTACTTTTTGACCTATATAGAATTTGGCCACAATATATTATTTTCATTAGTTTCCATTACTTTATTTTCAGTGGGTTTTTGACTCAAAGTCTGTTAGAAAGCCTTTTAAAGTTATTCGGTTCTACAGCATGGAAGTACAATTTTGTTGTGTGTAATTTGAATTAAAGTGAATCTTCTGGTTCGTTCATTTTGATATGAATTAGTTGATCAGTGCTTGGTGGGCGGTAAATGGGCCCCCACTGAAATGCTCTCTGATGTTTAATCTTCACTCGCTCCACTGACTGAGGCAAGCACTGGATCAGGTCAAAGGGGGCATAAAAAACTGCACAGAGACTGTGACTGAATAGGAGCGTCCCCACAATACGCGTCTAGTCCATGGGGCGGGCACGACTGAGCTCTTGGTGAATAGGGAGAGTGTTGTTGAGAAGTGTTGATGGATAGGAGGGAGGGCAGTACTTTCATCTCCACAGAACTCATATATGTAAAAGAGCGGAATGGCAGACAAAAAAACATTTGTTGTTATTCATGAATGTAACTGTACCCCTAGAGCTAAGATTGTAACTAATTTGATTTCTCTTTTCTTCAGGGCAACATCTTTTTGTGATGACAAGACTGAAAGAAACCTGGAATTAACACGAAAAAACTACGCCGCTTATACCATGGCAAGTCATGAATTAGACTTTCATCTAGTATTTCCGTGGAGGTTTTCATTTTTTGTTTAACGTTTATTTTCTCATCTTGTGTTAGGTGGATGCAAGGTTAACTCCCCTGGCTGCTATCGGACTGGAACGAGGTGCCTTGATGCATGATGGACTCCGCCTCCACAGCGGAGTGGTTTATCCAGGGATCCGGGCGCTACCTAGTGACAAGAGTCGAGAGACTGCTGGCCTCCCCCTTGGTTACAGCAGGGATGGTCTCCCAGAGCTCATTTATAAACCTGATGCCTCACTGGACAGCCGTAAACCTACTACTGGATATCTTGGTCTCTACAAGGGGACGCCCCCTAACCTTCACAAGCCTGTGATGGTTCCTGGAGCGGAAGGGCTAGGATTGGAATGTCGAATGGGGCCAGGGGAAAAGTCTGCAGAACTGGGCTTGGCTGGTGCAGGAGGCGGCTATCTACGCCTGCCTTGGCTCAGCCCTTACCCTGAAGCTAACATGTATCCATTCATGGAATCCTCCAAATTTGCAGCTTTAAATATGTATAAGGCTTCTCTCCTGGGCCAGCCCAACCCCTATCTCACCCAACACCTGGCCTATCCCTCTCTCTGTGCTGCTCAGGGGGGCAATGTAGCACCAGCTGCAGCCCCTTCACCAAGTGACAGGCTCTACTACATGCCACCTTATCCCCCCTCTCCCATCTCATCCCCGCTGGGGGCCCCACCAATGAGGATTCCAGCAGTCAGTGTGGCTCCCACATCAATGGCACACTGCCAGGACAAGGGGCTGGGCCTTGCCTCCTCCTTTACATCACAGCTTCACCAACTTTCTCCTCATCCAACACACCATCAAACTGCTCCAGACAGAGACCGGTCCCCAAACAGGAGCAGTAGACCAAGTAGACCTCCCTCTAGGAAGACCTGCAGCAATAGCAGTTCTAACCATGGAAATAAAGCTTGTGTAAATGAAAATAGTCTAGCCACGTCAGATTGCTCTCCCCTTACACCGTCTCGCCTTACTCAACCTCCTCCTGTTTTAACTGACAGTTCATTGGATTTACAAAGGCCTGTTGCTAGAATCGGACAACTGCCAGTTTCAACCAATGACTCAGTCTCTTCTACGCAGTCTATTGTCCATCCCTTTTCTGTAACCAGCATTGCATCAGACCAGAGCTCCCCAGTTCGGAATAGCACTCATAAAACAAGGCCGAGAGAGGCAGTGACTGAACTCAAAAGTGGGACAACTGAAAGAAGATCTAGTAGGTCACCCTCCAAACCCACTGTGGAAAGGCCGGGTCATCCTGCCAATTCACCCATGTCAACCAAAGACACAGCAGAGAAGCCCTTGGACCTTTCTGGACGAATGCTCGAGTTTGGACTCCCTCCAAATGGCTTTTCGGTTAAGATGGAAGCTTTAGCATCAAGTGCACGTTATGGTCTGCCTCATAGCAGAGACCATGTAAAAGACAATATGCCCTCTTCCCCATCGTCACATGCTCATTCTGGGATCAGTAGCACTTCATCAAAGGCTTCAGAGAAGCCTGAAATTATTAGCACTTTACATTCATCTTGGGTGATACCTACTTCCTCTCAGCACACGTCAGCTGTGCCCACATCCCCAAGGTCCTTTACAGACAGTTCACACAGTAAAAGCTCCTCACCTGCAATCAGAAGCCGAGGATTAGACAGACCTGCGCCACAAGAGCGCAGCTCTTCCTGTCCAAAGATTGGGGAGTCTAATCGCATGGTGTCTTCTTCACAAAATTCAAACTCCTCTGTCAACTCTCGACCTCTCTCTCCAAAGCCAAACAATGACTGGATTAAACAAAGTCCAAACCAGTATGAACTTATTGGACACCACAGAGAGGGCTCTGACAAATCCTCCCAACCTTCAAAGAGGAGTGAGCCATCTCCAGAAGTCTTACCATACAAGCGGCCCTGTTTGGAAAATAGTCATCCCTCTGGACATTTGTACCTTCCTCAAAATGAAGCTTACCTGAACCACAGTTTGACATATGCCAATAGATACCTCCATTACCCCATCCCTGATAGTATGGCACTACATCCCCTCTCTCTAGCAGGGAAAGGCCCTGTATATCCTCACCCTGTTTTGCTTGGTGGGAATAGTCTTTATCAAACACATTTAGCGCCCAAACATGCATTACCCTATCATAATATCCCAGGTGGACCAGGAGGGGAATACCTCACGTATAACTCACAAGAGATGGCTCATCCCCTAATGCACCCTCATTCAGACGGTAAACACTCAGAACGGGGAGATCCAAAGAACAGAGGACAGGAAAAATCTTGGACTGCTGCTGATGAGTGTTCTCAACGTAAAAACGAAAAGGATCTAAAAGAAAAAAGTGAGATGAGGTCTGCTCGAGAAATGGGGAATGAGGAGCAACAGCAGCGCAGTCAAACTAAAAGTACGTCTCTAACATCCAGAGAAAACATTGTCTGCATCGACCTCGTACACTCAGACACTGATGTTGACATTGAACCCACCCCAACAGTGCATCAGAAGGTCTCCTCTGAACCTGCACTTAAAGATGACCAAAATGAGTATTGTGAGGCTAATTGTGACTCTACACACACTGCTTATGATCCCAAATGTACTTCTCAATTGCAATCAAACCACGCTGAAAAACTGCCTGAAAACTCATTTGAGGAAGCACTTGTTTCTCAGGAGACAGGTTCTAAGTTTCCAGGTTCTGTGGAGCTAAATGCCCAAGTAGATGACAGTTTGGAGGAAAGCTGTCCCACACCAGAGCCTGATGACCAAGACCCAAGTACACTGCACTGTGCTCGTACATCAGGCGAATGGATCTCCAGGAAAGACAAAGGCCTCCTGAACAGAAGTCCTGCCCTTGCTTCAAACGCAGACACGAGGAAGGACTTTCACCCGGAAAACGTTGGTGCCGAAACGCTGTTTGAGAAGGAGGACAGTATTGTTGATCTCGGCGAGTCTCATGGAGAAGCCGACGAAGAGGATGATGACTGTAATCACAACTCTTCTAAAAACCGAGGATCCAGCTTAGCAAAGAGAATAGCCAATTCTTCTGGCTATGTTGGAGATCGCTTTAAATGTGTGACCACTGAACTGTACGCAGACTCCAGCAAATTGAGCCGTGAACAAAGAGCACTACAGGTAAGCAATTTTCAATGTTTTTATTTCATTATTTGACTGAGGTTGGTGCGGGGATGTTGAGTGTCTAGTTGAAGTCCATTTCTTTAAAACAAAACTCATATTTGAAAGTATATCTTAGTTAATATAACATTATCAACCCCAACAAAGTCCCTTTCCTCCCTGGCTGCATTCCTTATCAAACTGTTGCATGAACATATTGCATTCACTACACATAGAATAATCCTGTCATGCTGTTGTCCTAGCTAGCAGCTTGACCTTTCCCCTTCATCCATTATTTCTTGGAGCTGGTGTGAGGCAAGTTGAGGGTCTCTCCCAGGGATGGCAGATCAAAGGTTAACGCCACTGCCATCTCTGTATGTTGATTACTGTACAGTTAATGTAAAGGTTATTTCTGCGCCTGCATGCTTGTGTGTCTCTACGTGCCTGTCCTTGTCCAACTGCCTTGGGGCTAGGACACGTGCTGGTGTGAAGTCTGCTGCCACAGCCTGTGTGCATGACCAGAGTTAGCCTCACGGTTCATACTGCCTTTAGTTATGCTTAACCCCAAGGCGAGTTTCAGCAAAGGGGCCTTACTGTACATAAAAACTACTGCCTGCCCGTTTTAGGGGTTTTGAGTTTTTTTTTGCATGGCCCCGTTTGTTGGACTCTATTTGCTAACACTCATTTCCCCCCACCAACCTTAGTTTTTAACCCACATTCCACTGAATGGATATTACAGCAATACGTCAATCTAAAGGAAAAACAACATATGTTGTGTGTGGCACCTGCTCAGAGGCAGATATGTTAATAGGTCGCACATGTTTGTCTTTGTTGTAAGCACACCTCACTAACTGTGGATATAATTTTGTGATGTGTCAAAGCACAGCTGTAGCTCAAAATATTTGCAGCTGTATACTGTATCTGAAGATATAATTGGACATGATGGAACTGAAATTTAGGGCTTGATTACAGCTAGGTTCAATTCAAGTTTACTTCCAGCAGTATGTCGATCAAGCCACTGGGAAATTCTAATGTGATTTGATTCATTGTCTTGTATTGTTGTAAAACACATATGTGGGTTAATAAAAGCAAAGAAAAGGAAATGATGGACAGATAAATTGAGCCCCCATTCTAATTGCTTAGATGGAAGTCATAACACAAGAGGGGAGTAATGTAAGTCAACCTGCAGCTAACTGGGAGGTCAGTTCTTTACATTTCTTATCATATCTGCCTCTGATGGTCTCTCTCTGTCTTCTGTATCACTGTACACTGCTTCTCCTGCACCTACTTTTTCTCTTTCATTTTGTATTTGTGTCACCAAGCTTGGATGTCTAAATGTTTTAACAAGAGTGAAGGCAGAATTCGAGCCCCAGAACGCATGGACTCACTGTTGTTGCTATAGCTAACCTCTTAAAGCTCTGCTCTCAACTATCTATCTTACCTTTATCCTGTGTGTGTTGTGAATGTTGGGGTCTGTTCTATTTGAGCGTAATGTCATGTATTATTTTGTTGTTTGCTTCTATGTTTTGACTGAGTAGACTTAGGTTTAAAGAGGTGTTTACTTGTGACATGTGCGCACAATTATTATTCTCCCCTATTCATTTTCTCTATGTGTGCGTGCAGCGGGCCATGATGCGCTTTTCAGAGCTGGAGCTGAAGGAGAAGGAGAGCGGCGGTGTGTGTGTGTCTGCCTCAGCAGCGGGACGCGAGCTGGCAGACGGCCAGCACAGAGAGCAAGCACTGGAGCCCAGCCAAGGCAGCACCAGGCAAGGAGAGCGAGACGGTGAGCGGCTAGCTAAAAGCATTCTAAACACACACACACACACACACACACTATGCAGACAAAGAAGTACAGACATAGCTTCAGACCTAAGGCAACATCTCTAAAAGACAGATTGCTTAGACAGACTTTTACAAGCCAAGTGCGAAGGCTACTATTCTGTCGAAGCCCTTTGTTCATCTTTGTGTTCAAAGATGCATGGCAGTGGAGGGAGGACAGGCAGAGACTGTCACAGCAGGAAAAATGGGTTGGTGAAAACTATGGTGTAGAGTAAACAAATGGGAAGACGGGGAGCGGAGACAGAAGCGAGGTGATGGTTAGTGACTCTGGCTCCAAACTCAGCTGTGTGTTGAAGCGAGACCATGGCTGACGTCTGAGCCTAATTTTGGCACGGACAGACGCATGAAAACTTGTGGGGGGATGGCGGTGCCGCTGAATGGCATTATGCAGCCACAGTCAGCCAAAGTTACTCCAAAAATGGTTGAATTCTGAATTCTTTCACTTAGGCCAGTTGAATACATGCTTTTAAAACATCAGCTAAAACTAAAATCCATCGTTCAAACAGCTTGCCGTTTTTCAGTTGTGCGTGTTTGAAGTTTCCAAGATCAAATAGGAAAGTTGATTAGGTTAATTACTAATCATGGTAGGGGTGGGCAATAAATACATATTGATGAACTGGGAGAGTTTCCACCCATGACAAATGAATGCTATTTGCAATGTTTAGTGTATGTACAATACTTACGTTATACATTTTGCTGGGAAAATCAAAAATAGTTTCATTTAATTTGTTGTTTGTCTGAGTTTGGAATTTTCTGTTCATTTTTTACAGGCTGTCGAGCTGCTTTTACCAGTAGGCTCCCAGTTTTCCAGAAACATTGTGTACAGAAAGACGCGTTATCCCCAGGACAAGCAAATCATGATCCTGTGCGAAGCACCAGCCTCTGTTCTTTAAAAGATGTGAACAAGAAGCCGACTAAAGACTCGGAGGGACACTGCATGCATCCTGCTTTAACAGTGGCCAAAGCTCACACTGAGGAGAGGTTTGAGCTGGCCAGAAAACGGCCCAAACCGGATCCGGAGGACAGGGATAGGGATGAAGAGAGACGATTTCATCTTGAGAAGAAGCCAAAGATTTCTCCTGGTATTTATGAACTTCTCTTTTCCTCACATAATAATTTACTTTTTCCATGTTCTCCTTATCCTGCTGTTCTCACGTTCCATAGAGACAGTGTCTTCCATCCTTGTTATTTATATCTTTTGTTTCCTTTTGTATCCCCCCATCTAATCAAATCCACCTTAAACCCCACTTTGCTGAATTCACCCCCTTTTTCCACTCACTGTCCCATCTAACGCTCCGTGTGGCAGCTAAGCTCATAGAAGTGTTTAATCTTGCCTTTGAGCAGAGAATGCAAAAGAAGCAAATAAGAAGGACAGGCTTTCTATCCCTCCTGTCTCCCTTCTCTCGCTCTCTGAATATTTTCAGTCTTTCCTGCACCCATCCACTGCGTAGCGTTTTCTCCTCCTTATCTGATATGGCTTTGCTGCTGGCATGTGGCATCCAACTCGCTCTTGAAACCAGTGAAATACCTGTCCCCAAAGATTCCTCTTCTGTGTCTGTGGAATTTATCGCTCTGCTTCTTTGCCAAACTTTGACTCTCCATTGCCCCTTTTTACGCTTTCACTGTCACTTTCCTATTGATACTGTCTGTAAAGCTGAAATTTGAACCCAGTTAGTAAGCTGCATTATCCTTTAACAAGCATTTACTGCTCCTTAGGATGTTAAGTAAAAATGTGGTATATGATTTCAATCCCACATGCACTGCGGAAAGTGATGAAAAACAAGTCAAAATTGCTCAAATTCTCCTAACTGTGTCTGATTTGTGCCCATGTTGACTGCCTTTAAACAAGATTTGCCAATGGGGCAGGCAAAATGATCTTGTTTTAAACGACACAAGAGATGTCTCCCTAGGAATAAGAAAATGTTCACGGCTTGTCCAAGTTTTAAGACAGTCAGAATCTAGGATAAACATTTTTAGGGTTAGGGGTTTTTGCAGTGTGGTGTGAGCTAAATTAATAATTGTAAATGTTGCATAAAGAATTGTACTGTTTCTTTTGTCAGATGGTCAGGACACCACAGACGATGATGATGAAGTTCACAAGCTCAAAGTGTGCATTGAGCTCAAAGGCCTCCGACTCAGTAAACCCACCACTGGCGCACCTTCACCGGACAGGCCTCCAATCAAGCATGAGCGAGTGTGGCACCAGAGCCGGGTGATGTCCTCCTCACAGAGTGCTCACAAGTTCCGATCCAACGACGCAGAAGACAGGCTTGCAGCGCAACGGGCGGAAATCAACAGGAAATGGGGCTGCGAGAAACTCAATGGTAAGAATATGCCTCCAGACAGACACGCACTCAGCTGTAGACGCAGTGATGCTGTGAGTGGAAATCTTTGGTCTACTTTATCTCTTTTGTGTGAAGATATTTGTCATCAAGGGGATCTCCCGGGTATTTTAGTGGAAACAAGGCAAAGGATGTGATGTAGGTTCTCGTTCCTCGGTGTAGCGTAACGACTCTACTTTGACTCTGGGTAGTCACTGAATGGTGGTTTTTCTGGGTGCCGTACTATGATCACTGAACTTTAATTTATTTTCTCATACCTGTCACAGTAAAGATAAATAGACATCAAGGGTTTTCCTATTTAAAGACAGTGTTTTTTTTTTATATGCCCAGTTCGTTTATGGGCACAGGCGAGAGGTGAGAATAAAGAGCAAGGAAGAGTTTAATGGAAGTAGACTGCATGGGTCGTTTTGGCTACGCTTTCAGAAAGACAGTGACTTATTAACCAATATGTCTACAAGTGTATTCACCAGTAATTAAGGACAGATTTGCAATACAAATATAATCAAACTGGGCCTAGTTCTGCTACAAAGTTGGAACATTGTATCCTTTTCAGAGCTGGCGTGGTTTGCCTTCATCAAATATTAACGTAATTAGAAGATGTTCAATATAAGTGACAAATAATATATATCCTTTATTGGTAAGTCTGCAACAGGCTGTGAAGAGCTCTATTTTCTTTTGTCCTATAAATGAGAGGAGGCTCTGAATAATGCAAGCTCTATGAGAGGATAAAAACAGCTGCTATACAAGCTCTTTCCGTAGTGTCCTTGAAGCTGTGAATGAGTTTGTGCAGGACACGATGTGTGCGCTTTATTTTTCTTCTTGCACGAACAGGCCTGCTGTGCTCGCAGACAGCTATGTGCGCTCATTAATAAACCAACAGATGAGCGATGGCCTTGCACTATCTCCCCATCCTCCCCTCTCTGCACGTCTCACACTATCAAGCGCGCACTTCTCTCCTCATCCTACTTTTCCTTTCTTCCAGGAGCTGCTCCCTCACTTTCCCCGGGCCAACTAAAGGATAGAGTGCAACTCCCAAACCCTTTCTCAGGTGACCGAGGCCACAAGGAGCACAGGAGAGGCCCTACATCTCCGAGCCAGGATTTGACGGTGGGAGGGCTCAATCTATTCAAGGCTCGCCGCCACAGCGACGCAGACAAGCCCAAGGGAAAACGGCCATGCAAGACCAAGCACACAAGTCAGAAGGAACGAGAGCGGGACCGCAGGAAAGAGTCTACACCAGCGAGTCCAGGACAGCGCTGCATGACAGATCTCGGAGCTCAAGAGGATGGCAAGGTGTGTGTTGTCTGCATCCTGGCCAAATGCGCTATATATATATAAAATCCATATATCTGTATACAGTATATATGGATTTTCTGGCAAGAATCGGGTTGTCTGGATATTTTAAACATTTTAGTATGCCTGTCAGTGCCTCTGATTATGCAGAGAGGAGTAAAGGAAGAATGTTTTCAATGTTTAGTAGGCTGCTGCCTCTTCACCCCCCCTTCCCTCTTTGAGTCCCCATGGGAGGGCTCGTCTACGTGCACTCAGTTGTTCATTGTGTGTCATTTTTGTTGGAGCGTGCCACAATTATGAGTATAATTTGGAACATTCCTGACAAAACCCCAAAGCACTCAGATGTTTCACTTTGCACAGTGAAACATCTAAGTACATCACACTTAACGGGACACTTGAATGTAGTTACTATAGCGTGAAGAACAAGTGTCATTGTTTGATTTCTAATGATTGGTAATATACAGCTAGTTTGAAGGAAAATGCTGCAGTTTCCTTCCTGCAGTTGTGTGATTCTCTCTCTTTCTCTCTGCAGTTGAGTGAAGTGTGCGGTGTCCCAAGGAAGAGAGCTGTGTCTCCAAACTACTACCCCTCCTCACCGGTGAAGCCTTTCTCTCCTGCTTTGCACTGCCCTCCATCCTTGCAACCTCAGACAAATGGCAGAGTGGGTGGAATCCCGCCAACAGAAGGTGCCGTGACGCTCAAGACCCCCCCCACTGAGCCTCCTGTGTTGCGCCCGATCCCGCCTGAGGCTCGGCGGCTGATTGTCAACAAGAATGCTGGAGAGACACTGCTTCAGAGAGCTGCGCGGCTCGGCTATGAGGTAAGACGATCATTACAACTTACAATCCATAATAATAAACTCATATTTCTCTGGACACGTCGTGCAACAAAGAAGCAGCACCTGTTTTCTCTGAATCTGCTGTGTTTTTGTGATCCTCCTTTTGTGTGTGTCTGTTGTTTGTATATCCTCGTCCACTTCTCGCAGGTTTTTTGAACCCCTCACTTTCCTCTGCGCTCTCTTCCTCTCTTTGTGACTCAGATTGTCGTTGGCAGTACGCCTCCTCCCTCTCTCATACACGCACATACTACCCCACCCCCCCTTCTTGCCTAACTCCGCTCTCACATCGCATTAATTTTCCGTGAGGCAAAGTGTGACACGCTCGCCGGCACAGGCGCACACACGTATAGCACAGAGCGAGGGTTTGCTGGATCATTATACAAAGACGGATGCTCACAGCCATTTCAAAATTCTGTGATTTTTCATTTGCACTACTTCTATCATTCACGTGCTGTGCTTACACTTTTACAGTTTTTTTTTTAAACAAGTAGGTTTAATGGCAGCTTTTTTTTCGAAATGGCACCTTTCAGGTGTGTTTGTATTGGAGGATTATATATTTTGTTGTCCATTAACCAGTTGTTTTATGGAGGTGTTCACGTTTAAGATGATGAGGTGTGTTTGAGTCAGAGTTGAAGAGCGTGAATGAGAGGTAAGCACTGGGAGTATAATCGTGTTCTAATAGCCCTCTAATGTGCCGTGGTGACTGTGGTTAGCAGTGGCGGCGGCTGTTTTTCTCCCTCCTCCTCTGCCTGCTCGCTCACTCAGTCGCACACACCGAGACACACAGAACAGCGCAGCAGCGGGGCTCACTCAGCCGTGCTGGAGAGAAGCTGGCTCGTCTCTGATTTATGCGTCTCTCGAACATTTTTTTCCCTCTATTCTCGTTTTTCCCCCAATCCCCTTCGAATTTTCCCTTCCTGCGCCCTGCGTGTGGGGAGGGAAGAGGAGGAGAGAAAACCTGAGACTACACAAACAAGGCGCTGACCGCTGCGCAAACATCGCCCCTCGCCCTCCTCCCCCCCTCCCTTTCTCTCCGCTCTCTCCCTCTCAGGAAGCTCGTCTCTCACTGCCTGTGTGTGATAAGCCTGGGGCAGACCCCTGGGGCTCCGCACACACAAAGACGTGTGCTCCGACTCCGAGACACACCAATTTATGCATAGCGCTCCGCACGCACACACACACACACACGCACGCTTACAGGCTCAGGGCGTGCGCGCGCACACACACTCACAGACACAGACACAAGCACACACGAGTGGCTCAGGACGCGCGCGCACGCACGTTAGAGGCTCCGAGCTCACTCACACACGCACACACCCTGCCACATCACATACACACGTGCACGCTAGAGGCTCGAGTGCACACACACGCACACTGCCACAGCACACACACACACACTGCCACAGCACACACACACACACACACTGCCACAGCATACACACACACACTGCCACAGCACGCACACACACGGCCACAGCACTTAGACACACGCACACAGCATACACACGCTCTCTGCCACAGCACGCACACACACGCGCGCACGCACACAGCACGCACACATATCCCAAAGTAGAGGCGGAGCACTCGGCTCACGCTGGTGTTTCGCAGCCGCTAGCTCAGGGCTTATCGCGCACAGGCAGAGATATGAGTGCTGGTGAGTTGAAGGCACGTACACACAACGATGCATGCTCTGAAAACCTCTCGTTATGACCCAGTAAGCACATATGCCGGCATTCTAACGTGTTCAGTTCCATATGCCGTACACAACGCCAACTTAACACTGCTGTTGCACACATCCCTGTGCATGCACATACACAATCATCCAGCGCACAAGACCACAAGGGAGCGAAGCGGCGCTGTAGTGTACGAGTACAGACTTGTGCATGTCCATGCACACCTCACATGCATGTCATTTAACACACCACTGTTCTCTGTGCCCAGCCGACACTCTGCATATTTCATGTTCGTTAAGTTTTTCAATCCGTGACTATGCACATGAAAGCCCACTCTCGTCTTCCTTTTCTGCTCCCAATCCCATTCTCTGCTTTACTTTTTGAACATTTCAAATGGAACTGAAAATAATCTATAGATTTCTCCATTCATGTCTCACTCTCACCACACTTGTGGTATTTTTCTCATAAATGTTCCTTTTATTGGTCATCCATAACAAAACTGTGGGAATCTATGTACTCTTTCATGGTCAATAATATTGGAAGGACCAACCAACCCCTTCCACAAATCGAATTTTCATAACTTCGTATTATTACCCTGCCCTGGTAGTATTGTATTAGTCTCCTAAGTCTCTGTATTAGTCACAAAGCATGTTTCTAGCGTCTGGGCTTGCCCGTCACTATCTTGCTTGTATCAAAACAGCATATACTGATGCCACCTCCACATTTTCCCCATTTCACTTCATGTGTGCGAGGTCTGTGAAGGGCGGCATGGGGCAAATGAGTGAAGCGTTGTGGAAAGACCACTGTAGATTGTGCTGGGTTTTTCATATGATTTATTTTCTGTGGGACAGTGTCTGTTTTGGATGAAAACTTCCCATGTTAATTTTCTTTTAAGGATCTTCCTTTTTAAAAATTCAAGCAACTGTCATTACAGCACCCTCAACGCAGGAACCTCTTGCCTCCACGTTTATCTTCTGTTATTATGAGCTGTAGTCTCTAGGACAACTCTGACAGATTCCCTCCTATTCATTCATTTATCTGTCGTCTGTTGGGTGTTACCTCGTCCCTCTCTCCGCCCATTTCTCACTGGTGTGTGTGTCTGTTGCTGCCTCCTTGTCCTTTACTTGTCCTAGTACTATCCTGCGCCGAAGTAGAGGGAAAAGGAGGGAGACAGAGGGCGATAAACACTTAAACTAGATGGGAGGCTAGAATTAGCATAGAAATGGAAGTTGGGAGTCATTCTCTAGGTTCAGATGAGTAGCTACTCTTCCCTCCTGTGCAGCTCTGCCGAAGGACACTGGATAAACCTGGCTCTCCTTTTGGTCCTCTGTGTATAAAGTCACATATATGAATCTACACTTCATTCTCTCTCTGGCATCTTTCACTCAGTAGATACCTCGCTAAAACAAAATCCAAAGAGTGTAATGCATGTTGTTGAGTCAAGGGCATTTTTGTTTTTTGGTTTTCAAGGGCAAAAAACAGTCTGATCGTAATGTTCTGGGGAAACAACTACTACAACCTTTAACTAGAAAGCACACAAATGCCGACTCTTGTTGTCCCATGGCTATCTTTCTGAGGCAAAGTCCAGGCTGCCAGTGTTGTCTCTATGGCTACGTAATGGCTCACGCATGCACACTTTCCTCAAATGGGATTCTTTCTTAACACAGGACTTTTATTCTTAAAGTGCTAGTAAATGACCCCTCCAGGCGTCGTCTTTGTCTACAAATAATGGTGTGAATCCTCATGACCTGACACGTCTGTCTTTTTCTCTTTTTGCTTTAGGAAGTTGTTCTGTATTGTCTGGAAAACAAAGTCTGTGAAGTCAACCATAAAGACTACGCCGGTTACTGCGCTCTCCATGAGGCCTGCGCTCGGGGCTGGCTCAACATCGTCCAACACCTGCTGGATTATGGAGCAGACATCAACTGCAGTGCTCAGGATGGCACCAGGTAAACTAGGAATACAACACAGAATGACTAATACCTGCATTAAAGCTGGAGTACTTAACTTCCAAACCAAGCAGAACTATGTTAAAAAATCTGCCTCACTAGTTCCATGTGATAGAAAAGTTTGGTTCTATCACTAGTTATTACATGCATGTATTTTTTTGACCTCTTTCTTATGTTCAGTGCTTTGAGTTGCCCTGTGTATGAATTGTGCTATACGAAATAAACTTGCCTTGCCTTGGCTTTTTCAGACAGAAAAGCAAAAAAAAGAGGACCACACTCACTCAGCCACTCACTCATTCAGCATTCAGCACTCTGCCTAAAGTGTCAAATTGTGACTTACAGGGCTCTTACAAAAAATAAGATTTTTTCTTATAAGCATGGCTCGGTCTGATTTGTTATAGTTTCACGGGACTATTTCTAGTAAAAATGTATATACAGTTTATGAAGAAAGAAGCTTTAAAAGTAACGCTTGATAATTGGAGCACATGATAAACCGACATCCGTTTGTGTTTGTAGACCGATCCATGATGCCGTGGAGAATGACCACCTGGATGTAGTGCGGGTGCTACTGTCCTATGGAGCTGACCCTACGCTGGCCACATACTCTGGCCGTGGCCTGCTCAAGATGACCCACAGCGACAGCATGGACCGCTTCCTCACTGGTAAGCAATCCATGTCATATATCCAACATTTATGGACATTTATCAACACTTATGGAGATTGGTCAACTCCCTCCTATGAACCAATACCTATGTGTTCTCCATTCTTTGTGTTTGAACGGTTTGATTCTCTGATCTGTGTTGGCAAATTCAACGGTTTTGTAAAGTCCTCTGAGATAGCTATTGTTGTGATTTAGGGCTATACAAGAATACTTTGATATATACTGGTACATTGAGTCCAACCAGATTTGTTTGACTAATTTTTGGATGAACCTAAAGCACGGGGCACGTAACTTTTAATTCGCAAATGTAAAAATATGTCATAAAATCCATCCAACTAGTTCCTTGCTCTGTACCAAAAATTACATTTTCTTTTATTACTAGTTTACACATGTATTTTTTGCCTCTTAAAAAAACTGAACTGAACATGTGACAGACAGAAAATTGAAATCGAGAGAACCACCTTCACTCAGCCAATCGCTTGAGCTTGGTCCACTTCTAGATAGGGAGAACATGCAAACTCCACACAATAATGCCTGTGTTATTTCCTCCGGGTGCTCTGGTTTCCCGTACCACTACAACACGTGCAATAGTCCCCCATAACACCCTACCCCCCACCTCATTCTGTATTCTCAGTGGGACTTTCCTGGTTCAATAAAGGTCAATGAAAAGGTCAAGGTCAATCAGCTCTCAGCCAAAAGGATCAAATAGTGACTCACAGGGCTCTTCCTGCGAATATGCAAAAGACATGAAAGAACATGTTTTCTAATAAGGAATGTTGTGGTCTGATTTGCTCACATTCTATATTCCCCAGGTTTAAATGTAAGAGGTTATTAATGTTTAAGAACCAGCTCAAGCATTTTCTTTTGTTGAATTTTTTCTCATAAATAATCTATGGTGTTGGTCCCTTCAGGAATAGTCTTGTTAAAGTAAAATGCTGAGAACAACAAACACATGTACATGTGCAAACTAATGACATAACAAAACTGTTTGGACAGATTTTTATTGAATTGTTTATTTTTTTTTGTGGTCTGAAATGTTGGTACCCCGGATTAGGATGTTAATGTGTCTATAAACCACTATGAAAAACCCCAGCCCTTCTCAGTATTTGATGTGTGACTCTGACTGAGCTGGTATGAATGTGGCCCTGCACACTTTCCACCCTGCACTGGTTTGTTTGTGTCTGTCATCCTGTTTCCCCTCCGGTGCTCTGCTGCCTGTCTCCCTCCGTCTCCCCCCCTCTCGACCACCTGTTGGAGCGGGACGCGTAGCCCGCCGGGGCACGTGCTGCTGGCTCCGAGCTGCTCTTTCCGGTTACTTAGCAACGCCAACTGTTTGCTCAGCATAGATGTGCGCCGAAACGAGCACGCTCCGGTTGTGGCTGTGTGAGAGGGACTGTAATTCAATCAACCTATACTGTACCTTACTGCACCGATGGGCCTCTATAGGTACTGGATCTTGCTAGTAGTTTAATTTTGTCAGACAAATATACCCATCTAACTCTCCCTCTGAATTTGATTCTAGTCTAATCAAAAATAATTAAAATATACTCCAAAAATTTGACTTGATATTTTCTATTTATTACATGTCTTGGGTGATAAAACCCAAAAAAGGGTTACAGTCCCACCCCCAGACACCAGCTAAACCCTCTTTTATATTTACCATAAACAACTGAGGCGTACCGTGGAGTTTGATCATTCTTTCCACAGAGATTTTTCTCACTTATAATGAGAGTAAATGAGTCATCAAAGGCATAAACTACAGAGTCTCAGCTTGATAAGGCGTCCAACCATTTGTTTGTGTTCCAAGGGGTTCTCGGATCATATTTGATCGGAGGCGTTTTAAGGCTGAATGGTCAGTGTAGCAAGGCGTTTGAAATAAGTTGGGTTTCAAAAATAAGAGGTAGTTTTATGAGTGTGTATTAGGAGAAAACGCATGTCTAGCCCATTTAATCGCTTATAAGTAGAACAGATTACGAGAGCTGGAAAGTTGTGATTAAAATGAGTTGGGTTTACTGAAAGATAAATGTATTAGTCAGCAGGTGGGTAGGCGGGTAGAATTTAGAATAGACTATGTATATGGACGGATCGATCACTGCTATACTGACGGCGCAGGAGAGCGAGGCAAGATTGAGCACCGTTGAAAAATGAGCGAGAGCGAGCCGGCGATCGCTGCCCTCCCTCCTGCACCTGGTCCCACTCATCTGGAGGCTGTTAATCCCCCCAAACACACGCCAGACGCCCCACGCCTCAGCTCTGGCACTAAGCCCAGATTTCTTTGTGTGCGTGTGTGTGTGCGCGATGAAATTGCACTCGGCTTGGACCATGTGTGCTTATCCTGCGCCCTCGCCTGCGCGCTTGTTTATTTCCAGCCTGACGTGTGCGCACTACATTTTGTGGTTCTCGTTTGATTCCTGGCAGCCGCCTTTAGCCCTGGCCTGAACTGAGCCATCTCTATCCCCCGTAGACTGTTGCTTCCCTGCCCTGTGGTACAGTTGTTGGCCCAGGACCAATCCAGTGTTCCAGTTCATTCCCAAAATATTTGCTGCAAAATATTTGTGTTTATTTTTCTTTGTGACGCTACCTCTCCCGCACATTCTTTTGCTGAATTCCTCAAGGGCAATGTGACTTGTCTGTTCCATGGGCTCTGTTTGTTATAACATGCTTTACTTGTCTCTGTGCAGATTACTTTGCAGACCTTCAGGGCCGCTCAGATGATGACCCTGGCCTTTATTGGGAATTCTATGGCAGTGCTGTCTGTGGTGAGTACAACTTCACCAAATTAATCTGAGAGTTTTTTGTCTTTGTTTGTGTGTGATTTTGAATGCCTAATGGTGTGTGTGTGTGTTCATTACCAGAAGCCACAGATGAGTGTGGCATCTACGACATCCTGGCAGACCCCCCTGGTCCAGATGAATGTGACGAGGATGACAAAAGAGAAGTCTTTGAGTTTGAATTCTCTGATAGACCCCTGTTGCCTTGCTACAACATTCAAGTATCTCTCTCCCAGGGGTAAGTGTGTTCACAATATATGATTGTTGATTTCACAGCAACATTTTCTAATCACTTCTTTTCTTCTTTAGCCCAAGAAACTGGCTGCTTCTTTCAGACGTGCTTCGTCGTTTGAGGATGTCGGCTCGTGGTTTTCGGCAGGCCTTCCCCCACATGGAGGTGGTGACGGTGGCAGAGGCTGAATTTTATCGGCAGGCGTCTCTGTCGCAGCTCTTTTCTTGCCCAGAAGAACTGGAAGGTTTCCATTCAGACAGCAAGGAGCTGCTGGACTTGGTGGAAGACAGTGCTGAACTCGCTGCCCTGCTGGGCTCTTCACTGGAATGTTTGGACGACCGCTGGGATCATCCAGGGGATAAGTTAAAGGATAAAATCAAGGCTATTGGGAAGTTGGTCTCCTCCTGACCCCGGAGCCCCTAAACACTGACCTCTTTCCTTGTGGACTGCAGTTTTCTCTGGAGCCTACAAAGGGTTTTTGATGCCTTATCCGGACTCTTAGTTCCTGCTTTAGCCCTGTTCTGGTCCAGCACTGGAGCACTATTCAGAAACTATGACCTGCTGGCTGTCAGGACTGCTGATCTTTTTGTCTTGTGAACTAATGTGGGAAACCACAAAGTTTGTAGTGGTTTTATTTTTTATAAATTAATATATGTAAGATTATGATATATAGAAATGTATTATCAGAGATTTCTGTTTTGTGAGTCGTTGCTCACCACAGCATGAGCCGTCGTCTGAGTGCAGCACATTGAACGTGAAGCTGTACAGAATAGTACCAAGACTGAGTGCTATTGAATGTGGTATTTGTGTTTATGAGAAGCACATGATGTCCTTTTCTTTCCACGGACTCCAGCAGTTGCTTGAGCCTCTGGGGAGATGGTTGTAACTTTTGGTTCATGTTCTGCATCTTGTAATTTAACTGCAAAAACTTGTATTATAATGTTTTAAAACAATGTAGATATTTACCTTTGCCACAGATCTTGTATATAACATTGAAGCTATTACAGTAAAGTAATTTTGGTGTGTTCATTTCTGTTTAAAATTTGTAATTAAAATATCTCATAATTTGTATTTATATTTTACAAAAAGAAGTTGCTTTAAAATAAACATTCAAACAGCAAAGAAGACTGATTATATCCTTTATATGTAATTTGTCATTTTCCCATGAACTTTCTTTGTCCGCTGCCGTCGCGGTCTACGGGGTGGCTTTGGTTTCGTAAATCAGTGGACATATACTGCCATCTCTCGGTGTGTGTTACAATTGCAGGTCCTTACCGCCCGACAGAATAGACATTTAACGCCCTCTCGCGTAGGATCCCTTTGCTGCATTATGCATGGCGGGGTGGGTAAATAAAATGTTCAGTTAACATAAAATCTTCACACTGAGCATATAGTGATGGCTCAAGGTGGTTGATGTTGTTATTGTTGTCATTATTATTATTATAGCAATAAAATCCTCAATTATTAAAGTTCCAAAATGCCAACAGGCCTGTCATAGGCCACTAATATATGCACGTACACGATTATATTGAAATTAATTTGCCACACAGTGTTTATGTTAACTCCATTGCAATGTTAAACCATAGATGTGACTTATTCAGCTCTAATTAAAAAAAAAATCGAATATATTATTATTATTTTTAAACTTTATTACAGACACGAAGTCCAGATAAGAAAGACATTACACAAAAACAAAAACAACAATAATCATAAAAATAAGCATACATGAACACAGATAATAAATATTGAACCCCAAAATATATTGCGACTAACACTTTAATGGATGTGGAAACTATCATGACAGTTCGAGGCTGTAGAATAATATTTTTTATGGCGTTTATTATTATGCGGAAGTGACGCATGGGCGGGTCAGCTGATCTGGGCTGAAGGAGAAATGTCGAACAGTGACAGGATGGAGGCTGCTTTCGCTCTGCTTCTCGCCGTTTCCATTTTGGCCAGCGATGGTAAGAGAAGAGATCGATAAAAGACAGGATCAACACTGTTTTGGATGTATGAAGTATTATCCATAGTGTCCGTGTGTATCATGCCCGACTGTGGCCTGAACAGACGGCTGTGAGCTAATGCCAGCGGAGAAGCTAATGCAGAAGACTGGAAGCTAGCGCCAGAAATGTACTCTATGAAATACTTGGGTGACAATTGTTTATTAGCAATTATAAAGGTTGAATGTGTTTTGTGACATTTTAATAACTCGCATGAATGACCTCAAATTACATACGTCTCATCTGAAATCCACTGTAAAAGGCTAGGTGGAAACGCTAGCTTACATGTTTATTCGTTTTGTTAGCTTATTTATCTATGATTGATCTTGAGAACACGCGTTAGACAATTGTTGTAGTATTTCGCCGTCTGTGTTACATTTGTCATGTGAGTCTTTACTTCCTCTCTTCTCCAGTCACGAGTTCATCATTGCTCCGTATTTTGTGTGAAGCAGCTCAGAGGATTGTGCTGATGTCTTGTAAAACTGCATGTGTAAATTCAACCTGTCCTCAATTATCTGATATTTGCTTACTCCTCACTTAACTTATTAACTAGTACTGTGCACTTAAATGAATGTGATTGCATGTCTTTGCAGGTGTACAAGGAAACAGGCTGACAGTTCTGCAGGCTCCAGAGTTCGTCTCCTTCCAAAAAGGTGAATGGCCTATCGCTGGAGAGAAGGTCCCAGACTTGGTGGCTTTAACGATGGGCTTTTCGGTTCAAGAGGTAAATCTGTGTTCGTTTGCAATTTTACACGCTATAATATGGTTAACATTATTTTATTATGCCTTAGCTTTTAATGGATGGGTTTATGCAAAGTAAAAGTATGTGTTTGTCTTTGTCTGCATCCACATGCACAAATTATGTAGCCAGATCACTATGTAATGGAGATTTGTTCTTAATTTCAAAGGAACGGTATGTAGTGTATGCTTTTACTTCTTAACGTTGTTACAAATGTATCCAAACCTTTGTTGTCAGTCCGTTGCCCTGTAAGTTAAGCACACAAATGTAGTTGCTTCTCTAGCTCTGATTATTGATGTGCTGCAATCCAACTGAGAGATGCATGTCTTGATAATTCTGGTTTCTGATTATAATAATCTTCTTGAGAACCCAAAAGTAAAATAATGATCTCATTTGGGCAGCCAGTTTCTTTGTCAGAGATGGCTTTGTCTCTACCTCAGAAGCAGCTGCATTAGTTAGGCAGGAGTGCTACCCATTCAGTTCAAGTTATTAAAATTGTTCATTATTTTCATTTCAGGAACTATCTTGGCCAGGCTTAAAAGCTGGTCCATTATTTCAGCGTCCTAGAGCAAATGTCTTGATCGTGGTGAGAGGAACGGATAACCTTTCCCTGCCTCAGAATGTTGCCAGCTACCCCTTGGAGAATGTGTGTATAGTGTATTGCCATACATTAAAAGCCTTATAATGGCTTAAGGCTTGCATTGGTTGTAATGATTTTGCTTCACTTTTGTAGGCTGTCCCTTTCACTTTGGATAATGTTGCAGAGACTGTTCATTCTCTGTTTGCGGAGGACACTCCTGTTGTGTTGCAGCTTGCCCCCAGTGAAGAGGTAAATTACAACAATTGGCCGTATTACTCAACATATTGTCAAATTGACTGAATAATCTTTGTATTTTCAGAGGCTATACATGCTGGGTAAGGCTAATGCTGTGTTTGAGGATCTGCCTGTCACTCTGCAACAAATCCGTGCACGTCTCTCCCAAGAAGGCTCTGTGCTGACCTCTTTGCCACTAAACTCTCTCAGCAGAAATTCAGAGGTCTATTCATATTATATCTTGTCGTTGGTGTAAATAATGTCTACCTTTTTAATCAAACAAAAAAATAACAAACTATATTTGCCAACAATCTTTAGGCTGATCTACTCTTCCTTTCTGAGGTCCAAGTACTCCATGATATTACAGCTTTGGTAATTATCACAACTTTTTAAGCTTTTGAGTAGCTTGCTTGAATGCAGTATATATCTATACAAATCTGCCTCCTTTTATGATAGTTGCAGAGACACAGACATTTGGCCAAGGACCACTCCCCAGACCTGTACTCGCTGGAGTTGTCTGGCCTGGAGGAGCTGAGTCGGCTCTATGGAAAAGACTCCTCTCAGTACAAGGATGCCTCTGCAATTCTTTCTTCTGTTTTACAAAAGGTAAACATCAGAGTTATTGTGTTGGGGCTCATTCATTTTGTGTAAACGCTCACCTGTATTTGTTGTTGTAGTTTGCTGAAGACATATACAGTCTCTACGGCAACAGTGCCGTGGTGGAGGTTGTGACTGTGAAAACCTTCGAGGCTCCTTTAACCAGAAAGTCTCGTTCCATTTTGGAGTCAAAGCAAATTGTATGTCAGTTTTTTTTGCATACTTTATTAAACGTCTTTAAGCCATTTCAGTTTATGAATAATGTTTCTTTCATTACAGAGCAACCCAGGCAGTCCTTACAACTTGGCCTATAAATACAACTTCCAATATGCTGTAATATTCAACATTGTGCTCTGGCTAATGATAGCTTTGGCTCTGGCAGTTATTGTCATTTCGTACAATCTGTGGAACATGGACCCAGGATATGACAGCATCATCTACAAGATGACCAATCAGAAAATCAGGATGGACTGAGTTCTGATCTTAGCGAGCCATTGACATTCCCATTATCCATTTTGAAGGTTTGTGTGGTGTGTGTGTGTGAAGTTTTACATTGTTGACAAATGTCCTTGTCATTTTTGTTTACAAAGTTCATAACATTTATTGATCAGTAATGTACACTGTAAAGGAAAGCTTTTACCAAAAAGCTAACATTCCGGGCCCGAATGCTTCCTTACTGGTTTGTCCCCAATCGATATAGCTACTGTGGTTCATTGTTGTATAATTATTGTAACATTTTGAAGAATGTGTTTGCCTGGTTTATGTGATATGCTTACCTTGCTGTATAAATAAGTTATAAATATGTGTATATATTGACTATAAAAAAGCAGTATATGACAAAATGATTTGCTGTTGTCTTATTGTGAATGAATATGTAATGTTTCACAATTCTGAATTAAGGATGATTGACACTGGTTGTTTGAAACTCAATAAAGCTTCATTTAACATTGACAGTCGTGATTTGTTTATAAATTCAGCATTCTGAAGTTATTTTCTTCTAGTTTTTGTATAGTTAGCCTGGTCGTACCACACAATAGTACAAATTACATGCAGGGTAATGAAGATTGAGCGGAGTGTACGGATGGCTGAAAGGCCAGGCTAGTATGGAGTGGATACAGCAGTGCTATGTCAGCCCAATAGAGGGCGCCAAAACAAAAATGCAATTTTTTTTTTTTTACCTTGAAGGAGGGAACTCGCAGCAGGCTCCATGATTTCACCGAGCACAATAACATGCACAACATGTTTTCTTTTCTAATGTAATCTTTGCGTTGTACATGAGCCAATCGATGCGTTTCTTCTCAAAGTAAAGGGCACAAGCAGCCTCGTTCGAAGGCAAGTTTAATTCCCCCGTTTCACTTATTTCTGGACACCGTGTTAGCATTGATTGCTAGCTGGTTGCTAATGATTGCTAACAGGTTCTACTTTTGAATGCATGCACTTAGTAATACCGGTATTTTCTGCCTAAGTTCCGGAGAACCTAATGTTAAACTCGTTGCTCATCTAAATATGTCTTGTTAAGTAAACTTTATCGTATTTCTCCTGGTAATGTCACCGCGGGTCTAAAGCCTTGTTCTCGAGCATTGCTTTTGCATTGTTTCTTACAGTTATCCTCATGGATGATCTTACGAATAATAAAGTTGTGGTCATGATTTTATTTGATGCTGAAAAGGAGCCATGCTATCATAAGTTTGCATTTACTTTTATTTTGTAGTTTTACTGTTCCGTACTGTGGGACATAATGGAAAGAAAAAGGGCATTAACTATTCCGTTTGCCATCGACAAAGACAAATTAGTAAGGACAAATTTAATTTCTTACTTCAGGCACATAGACTGTCCATTTTACGTATAAGTTAAAGTTTTAATAAAATCCTGAATGTGTTTTTCTCTCATAATAACCTTAATGCTATTTGTGTTTTAGATGGAAAATCCTCTCAGAATCCCTTCATCCTACCTGGAGTGCGGAAGAATACAACAACAGGTGAACTAATTCTCAGTCTTTTGATAAATGGAGATGTACTTAATCTTATCCCCCTCCCCAGATATCCTGGACAACAATCACAGGTCATAAAACCAGACGACAAGATTCAAAGCACAACAATGGTGCAGTGCTGTTTGACCACAATCATGCAGCACTGGTTCGGTTGGGATTGTCTGAGTAAGTATGTGCTTGGGTTTTCATGTAGTCCTTTGGTCTTTAAAATGGTCCTCTAGGGCTGGGCAAAGTATTCGTTCAGTCTTTACTTAAACACTTGATGAAATAAGTGGAGTCTGGTGTGCTCCTACTTGGTTCAAATTAAAAGTTGCAGCCACACCAGCTCTTTGAGAACCATTTAAAAAAAATACTGATGTAGTTGATCTTCACACTCGTGCGCTCTGCATAACCGTCACAAAAGCCATTTCTTTTAGAAATCAGCTGCTATGCAATAATTATAAGATACACCGTTATCAAGGCTGCACCAGAAAGTGCTTATCTTCTCAGCATGACAGAGCCACTCCCTGAATCAGCTGATGCATTACATTGCCTTGATGCAGCTGTGTGTGAGGTGCATTTTGTTTGATCCCAAAGGAGGAAGCCCTGTCTGATTCTGACCGACGTCCTGAAGACCGATGCAGGCAAGGCTTATATGGAGAGGATAAAAAGGCATGTGAATGGGAAGGAGAGAGGTCGTACCACAGATCTACCTATGGTCTCCAGAAGTAGACGGTCCAGTTGCACCAAGAACACACACACTAAAAGCAGTGTTTCACCAAAGAGCAAGACGACTCCGGACTCAACTATTCTTAGGTAGGACTTTGTCACAATCACTTCTTCTCAAAGCGATTGTTGATTGTTGATTTTCAACCAAACTGGTGCACTGAGCCCCAGTTCATACTATATTCTTTATGTGACCATTATTTCAACAGTCTGATTGCAAATATCTTGCCCTAATTTAGTAGTGAATATCTGTATAATTGGGCATACGTACATGTGGACAAAAACGGTTACAATTCAAAGTTTTCACCATATTTATATTGCATCAATACTGTTACTAATATGGCATTTAGAGAGGTGACTTTTGTGATGCATCTAAATAACAAACACTAATATGAATATTATTTTGATGGTAATTTTTTTACCTGCTATATTAAAGCTTGGGTACCTAATTGTCAAACAACAAAAATACAGCTATGATAAATGACCATTTAACAACCTTACTCTCAAAAGTGTTTTTCTGTCATGTGTCTTCATGTGCATGTACCTCTGAATCTGTCACATATTTCAATACAATTCTTATTCAGGAAAGTAAAAAAAGAAATGATCACCTACATTCAGCCGATCTGCTCTTGCCCTGTCGGTCACTATTGGGCAGTTTGAGGCAAGATATTATGCCTTCTACTTTGATAAAGACAGCGTTTTGTGATCTGATTTGTTCACAATTTGTGACTTTTACAAAAGTTGGACACCGCAGCTTACAGGAATTAAATGTAGCTTATCTACATTAGGAAAATATTGATTTATTCAACTTATAGCACTAGTTTTAACATCCATCCATCCATTTCTACCCTTTAATCCATTTCTGGGTCAGGGGGGTGGCAATCGGAGATGCCACCCAAGTCTCATAGCACCAGCCCCTCACTGACCCTCTGCAGGTGGTGAGTCCACAGGAGGACGGCTGCTCTGAGTGTGAGCATAGCCTTGATCTTTCAGTGGGGGCTTTGGGCAAAGTGGGGTTAAGTGTCTTGCCCAAGGACACAACGACAGCAGTCATCAGTGGGAGTCGGTTGAGAAGGTGTAGAGGTGGGAATTGAACCCACGACCTTCAGGCTTGAAGGCCAATGCTCTACCAACTGAGCTACTGTCGCCCTAGCATTATTATTTCAATGACTGATTATTTAAATTTGTTGTTGCATCATTTAGGTCGCGGTCAAGATCAACAACAAAGTCTGAAACTGAAGAGTTGGAGAATGCTCAAGACGAAAATGACGACGTGGTTTCTGGCAAAAATGGATTTGATCTTGTTGGTAAGCGCACATTTATATATAAATCGTTACTGCTATAACAAGCGGGTACATATGTTTGCTTAGTCTGTTCTCTTATTATGAAAGCATTACCGTTAGTAGTTATTGCACTTACTATTATTATTTTCATCTAGATTGCGGGCTGTCTGTGATGTGGGAAGACAAAAGTGATTGCAAGTCCCCTGCTACTAAAATAAAGAGCACAGAAGAAAAAAAAGGATCCCAGGTTAGATGGATTTTTGCATTCAATTGTTTAGGGAATTTGTTTTCTTTAGTAGTGGCTCCAAAACGTTTAACTAGAATCAAGACTGTAAAGCGTTGCTGTGTTTTCACAGAAGAGGAAAGTGAGCGATGATGTGTGTCAGTCTACTGAAACTGACACCCCCAAACGGCCCAGGGCCAGTGTGTTGCGCCTCACGAGTGCTGTAGACACAGAGGAAGCCACCGTTTCTCCAGAGAAGGGGGCAGAAAACAAGGATTCCAAAGGCACTGAGGAGGCGATTTTGCAATTTACTGTGGGAGAAGATGATAAAGCTGCAGAAGCTGTAGTTCCAGTTTCACAGGATAACGATGCAACCATAGCCACCGCTGAACCTAGTAAGTGCCTTCAAGTCGTTTCTACGCTAATGTATGGCCATTTGCTCTAAAAGCATTGCAGAAGAGATTTCTTATTGTCCTCATTCTTTGTGATGTATTTTGCAGTTGTTCTGTCAAGTGATGATGAAGACAGTGGTGCAAAAGCTGATGCTAAAAGAGTGAGTTCGAAACGTATCTCTCAGCCGCCGCCTTTGCCCCAACTGAAGGCCCTCCCCCTGATGGAGCTGCAGGTAGCTTCTTAATCTCTATATATTGTACATTTATTCTTCATCAAAACGTTCAAATACAGTTCTTGTGTTTCAGCCTTTTGACGTTTTTGTAAATGAGGATTCAGATTCAGCTAAAGGCAGTTGTTTGTGTTACGCATTTTCGGATTTGTATTCTGGACCACATCATGTCAAGGCAAACGGGGACATCCTGGTATGTTTCTGTGGAGTGTAATTTTATACATGTTATATTTGCGTTTAGCTTTTACCATAACATGTTGTTCTCGCTGTCTTTCAGATTACTGATGATAATTTCATTATTCCATTGAAAGGTAATCTTGTGTAAATGTTTATTGATTCGACAAAAAACTTGGACCGTTATGTTACTTAAAATCATCCAAAATAAACGTTGGTCCACTTCAATTGGACCAAGTGTGCATTCACCTATGCATCTACCCTAGTGTCTAATATGACTTTTCTCCCTCAGATGCGAGTGAAGAAATGGATTTGATGATAACACTGGAGCGAAAACACCTAAGACGGTACAGTGTTTGGGAGAAGAAGGAACTGGAAACCCTAAAATACTATTCACACAAGAACAAATCAGAAATTCCTGCCGTTGGATTGTTGTTCTGTGTGTCGGAAGAAGCTGCAGAGGGAATCCAGTATGATCTCAACAACCTGTGTGGTTCCATGGCAACAGGTATGTGTTCTGATCATGTTTCTTTTTTCAAAGTGTTAGTCTCCGGCCGGTGAACATGGAAATTAAATTTTAAATACTATATTTAGAGATTGAGCGTATTTTGGTGCATTGACAGAGGAACAGAACTAGATTGTTGCTTCATAACTTATTCAAATTCTAGTTTTTTATTGGTTGGACATTTTCCTACTTATAATTCCTTGTACTGGTGCCATGAGCTCTGGGGCTGACAGCTCTGATTGTTTTCCCCCGACCCAGAAACGGACTAATAAAGGGGTAGAAATGAATAATTTGTCTTATTTTTTTCCTCTTTTTAGGAAAGCCAAGTCCTTTCATCCTTATATATCTGCAAGAGAGTTTAGAGGGTATGGAGGGAGCTTTTTTGCGGTCTCTCTTGGACATGGACTGTCTCAACTCTCTTTCTCAACGAAAAACCTTAGGAGACTATGATCAGGCGGCAATCGGCCCTTCTCTCTCTTTGGATCAGTGTGTGGATCTCATCACATCAAGTGATTTAGATCCACACCTGCTGCAGTTTCTAGACCAAGGATCTGAGTGCGCTGAGGCAGACTGTGGAAAAGAAAACACTCTGGGTATCGCACTACCTACAGCACAGTCCAAAGAGACAGTTTTAGAGAAGGAAAAGACAGCGGTGAGTGAGAAGTCGACACCGACAGAAGCAGATAAGTTGCAGCAAAGCCTCACTGTCCCTCCTGAGGTCAGTCACATGATCAGTCTCATGCTCAGTATGTAAGGGCGTCAGTGTCTTTTTCTAACAAGTATTTTTTTTATTCAACAGAAGAAAGTCCTTGACCCTGTTTACACCTTGTGCCATCGACAACTGGAGGACTCGTACTCAGTAACAATGTGTCGACCAGGCTCCGGCTGGGTCAAATATAAACATCAGGGACTCGCCCGCCGGTTAGTATCTGCTTACATTTTCATTGAAAAGACATTATCGGCCTTCTTTTTTTTTTACTTGGGAGTGTGAAAGAACTGCCGCTGTTGAATAGATGTTATAATTATGATCAGAGGAAATGATCTTCCCAATTGTTAAACACAAAAACAGGTCATCAGTCGTTAGCTAATTGTTTTCTTGCATTATCCAAAATAATTGGCACAAAGCACATCGCATTAAGATTACATCCACTCCACACAATACACTGTAAAAAGATCTTATTTTTGTTCTCCCTCACATTCCCAAAAAAAACCTTCTGAATTATATTACTGAATTTCTTTTCAACGTTGTATAAATAGTTTTGTTAAAAACTTCTGAATAAATATATTCAACTCTGAATATTGTTCAGAAAAGGCAGCAAGCTGCCAGGTGGTGGCACTATGGAGCCATTGAAGAAACAACCAGACTCTTGACACATTTTCTAAGGGTTTGTGAGGGTTGATCGGAGGCAATTAGTTGGTTGACAGTATTTTGACAAAAATCACTTATTTGATTGTTTTCTCGTACGTTTGAGCAAAAAGTTACACCTTTACACACAGATACGTTTCAAATAAATTAAACTCACTCTTTATTAAGAACAACCCGGTTGATAATTAAAAAAAGATTCCCTGAGTACTACCAAATTATATTACTTGAGCCATGGATAAAACCGATCAGGGTCCAAATCAGCACTAAACACGTTCTATAAATGAGGATGACTTCAATTCTCCAAAAAAAAGAAAACGCACACGAGGTGCTCATTATTACAGTATGGTTAGATAATACATTTCTGAAAACTTGGCACACTATTGCCAAATACACCCTTTTTGTTGAATAATCAATCGGCAGAAACTGGTTTTTGACGCCTAAGAATTCTTTTCACCCTTCATTAATGTGCTCTCATTGTAAACGACAGTTCTTTAATCTGTTCAGGTTGATTCAGTTCCCTCCACCCCCAATGAAAGGAGGAATCACAGTATCAATGGAAGATTTGCTTTGCCTTGACATCGGCCAGTACCTCAATGATGTCATCATTGACTTTTATCTCAAGTAAGTTATTACTAGGCACACATTGTATGTAGTTCATCAAGTTTCTAATGCAGTTGTTCTTAGGTACCTTCTCCAAAATGCCTCAGAGTCTGTTGCAATGCGCTCGCATATCTTCAGCAGCTTTTTCTACAAACAGTTGACGCGCAGGGACAACGCCAGTGAAGGCAGCAACAATGAATCGTGAGGGTTCTATTTTTCTTCAAGTTTTAAGAATACTATGAACAATGAATTCTTATGTCTTTCTAGTTGTCAAAGGCAAAAGCGATACCAACGCGTTCGGACTTGGACTCGCCATGTGGACATCTTCTCCAAGGACTTCATTTTTGTACCTGTCAATCAAGAGTAAGTCACTTTAATAAAACTGCACATTTATGAAGGGGAAATCCTGATGGTTGAATATGGTTTTAATCCGCAGAGCTCATTGGTATTTAGTTGTTATTTGCTTTCCTGGATTGGAGGAGCCAAAAAATGAATCATTGTCCCAGAGTCCGGATGAAGAACAAGCATCAGAAAGCCCGAATAGGAATCCAGAAGATATTTTACACAATGGTACAATGATGAAACCCAAACTGATCCATAGTATATTTGAATATAGGAAAATAATACTTTATATTATTGTCTCAATACAGCAAAGGAAGATCCTACCAATAACGCTTTGCCCGGGCCAGTGGTAAGAGTTGATAAAACAGACATTAAGTCAATTTCGGTTGCTTTGCTTTTAATTGATATCTTTGTTTAGAATTGCACTGAGCAGACTTGCAGAAGAATGACTGTTTGCAAAAGGTGAACACACACAAAGTAACCATAATACAATAGACACAGAGCTGTGTAGATTGCAGTAAATGTCACTGGCGTGTCTCTCCCCAGGCCCTGCATTCTGGTGATGGATTCCCTCAAGCGTCCGCCTCCTGAACGGATCATCAAACTGTTGCGAGAGTAAGAGATTGGTTGTCAGCAGCGGAAAGTTAAGAAGCGGTGTTAATCGAATACATTTGTCGTCAGGTATTTGCAGTGCGAGTGGGAAGCCCGCCGAGGCTCATCACGAGAATTCGGTGCCGAGCAGATGGAAAGTGCACATTGTCAAGTCCCTCTTCAGGACAACAGCAGCGACTGTGGCCTTTACTTGTTACACTATGTTGAAAGTTTCTTGAAGGTACATTTCAGATTGTTGTATTTTGTTGTTTGAAGCTGAAGTACCTAACTTTTCTTTCGTAAATACTAGGGCTGGGACTCTATTACATTTTTTTATCTAATTAATTATAGGCTTTGTAATTGATGAATTGAATTTTAATCGCATATAAATATTTGACCTGAGAACAGTGAGAACATTTTTTCACATGGATTTTTTGTTTACCGTTGAATGACTGAATAGATGAGCTTAGGCAACAAAAATATTGTTTATTTCTGTTCAAGTCCAACTTTAAGTAGCAATACCATATTTAGAAATATACTTCCCATCCACGGCTTCTTTGTTAATGTTCACTGTACCACGAACCAGAGCGGACACCATTGCAAAACGAGTGCAGCAGCGTGTGAGTGTAGTACCGCACCAAACACAAACTTTAGACACTTTGCACAGAGACAGCAGTGGGAACAGTGTTTCTCTGAGTCACTTCTGTCATCGGGAGGTTCGGACACAGGTCAGATTTGTGGAGAACAAGCCTGGAAGTTGCGTGGTGCTCCAGTACAATCGGTCCGTCTGAAACCCATCCAGTGAGAAACGTTCCGCGGTGCAAAAAGAGAGATGACGATTAAAATGCGTCAATTTTTTTAACAAGCTAATTTTTGTGTATGTAATTCATCTTAATTAACGCGTTTAAGTCCCAGTCCTAGTAAATACATTTGGTTTGTCCGTACGAGTCTTTTTTTAAATTTGCATTATGTGAACATATCAAGACCACAACATACTGTCTTTATCTATTATAGAACAATCTTTTATATACAAACTGATTTAGTGAGGACTGAAAAAAGATTGACAGAGCCCAAGTATACATGTGTAACAAACTAATGAACCAAATTGTTTTGAAAGCGAGAAACTTGTCACATACGTTATACATTCTTTCTTTGTGGTTCAAAGTTAGGTGCTCCAGCTTTAACTGTATGCTCTGTAATATTATTGGAAAACAAATGAATAATTACAAATGTCTCTTTGCAGGACCCTATAGTGCACTTTGAACTCCCACTCCATTTGAAGTTTTGGTTTCCACGACGTCAAATTAGAAGAAAACGAGAAGAAATCCGAGATCTGGTACTCAAACTTTATCGAATTCAAAATATGAACGTAACAACATAGTGTTCACTTGTTGTTTACATGATTCACATTCCTGTCGCTTTTCTACACTTCTGCTCAGCGATAAAAACGATTATGTTTTCTGTTTTAATGAGTTAAAAAAATAACGTGTAACTGTTATTTTGACACCAAGGACTTTTAGGAAAAAATGATGATGTACAGACTTGTTATGGTTTTTTTATGTTTTATTTTTTTTAGAGCATTATTTTAGATATTTATCAATAAAATTACCATGAAAAACACTATGGGCTTTTCTTTTTATCATTTAAGCACATGCAAAAGGACTAAGGCTGTGACGTGACGGTCCAAATAAAATAGATGCTCAAAAGATTGTAAAATTTTATTTCAGAGAGCAGGTTCCAATGCTACTCTGAAGGAAAGAAATTATGTAAGAAGTAAGGGAAGTCCAGGTAAATCTTCAGTTTCTCTCCATTGAAATATTTTTTACACCTTTTTAATCTTGTTTATGGCAACATCTGAGAACGTATTAGTAAGATGGCTATTGCAGGTCTGCATTCATAAAGTAATAGAACAAAAGCATTCATTTATATACGTTTTCTTCATACATTCCTTCAGGTTGTAAATGATAGAATAATTAAGTAATCTGGATTCAGGGTCAAAAGTCTAAGCTTTTGACTCTCACTGTAGAGGATTGGTTTAGCTGCTCCTTTAGAGCTCAGCCTTTCGTCCAGTCCTATATGTAACCAGACTGCTTTGAGCTGAAATAGTAACACCTGTGATCTCATTAGAGCATGTGTGTTTGTTTCCTTTTTGTTTTTTTGTTTGTTTTAGCATTTAGCATATTATATAAATCACTAAAAATAATCCAATATTTTTAGCCAGATTTCTGTATTGATGTCTAGGATGACATCACAACTTTCCTCCTTCTCTAGTGTTGCTCTACTAACTTCTTGGTCAGTTCCTGTTAAAGGATTAGGCCAAATGAGATTAGAGAGAATTAAAAATCCCCAGCTCTCCCAATGGCCATCTGCTTTCCAATCTGAGACACAAGCAGTCTGTTTTGCACCATGGAGCACACCTCTGCACAGATAAAACAGAAGAATGCAACATAAATTTTAAGGACAAATATTTTTTTGCTGTTTGGTGATGATTTTTGATGCCAGAAGAATGCCAAATTATGCAAATGCATAAAGGAGCAAAAGTCTGTGACTCTGTGTCTGGCACATACGATTTGGATTTATTTACCAGTTTTTGAATTTTAATCTAGTAGCAATCACAGATTTACCATGTTCAGCATATTGTGCAGATTGGGATGTGTTTTCATCCCGGTTCTGATTACAACGGTGGACTTGTCGGTGGATTTAAAGACAGGTATGCGTTTTTATGACTTAATAGATTAGTTTCTTTGAGCTTGTCATTGCATCTCATTTTTGGGAGAGAACCATTGGTTTATCTCACCCACATAATGTATTTAGATACAACTTTCAGACTGCCGAGCATCTGATGATTGTCACTTTGATTTTCTAGATGCTGTGCTGGAGGGCTCCTCCATGGGTTACCTAGAAGTAGCCCACAAACAGGAGCACCAGATAATTAATGTGTCTGACGTCATGACAACTAAAGGAAACCATCTAGTTGTGCGTCGAAAACGCAACATCCTCTTTCCAAGTGGAGTCAAGCTGTGTGCACAAGAAACTACGCAGCAAGTAGTTGCCAGTCATCTCAATTATTTCAATCTCAGAGGTAAGTGTGCAAAAATAGTGTTTTTCAAATGCTGCCATTAAGCCTTACAGACTTGCTTTTTACTGCAAATGTTTGCTATTCTGTATTGTCCAGTATTATTCTGTTTTTGTAAAAAGGAAAAAATTTGGTTTTGGCTTCACAGACACTAGTATTATAATATTATTACCACAGGTCAAATTTTGCTTTTATTTAGTCTGTAGTTGGTTTCTGTGTGCTGTAATACTTTCAATATCCATCTCCTCAAACGTAGTAGAGTGCTGGATAGCTTAGAGCTTGAAATTTGATCTGTAATGCATGTGTGTTATTCATCAGTGTTGATGGTACAGTGAGGGAGTGGGTAGAGACCAAGGTGTTGGTGACCTGTTTGGACTGAACAGATACTGAAGCTGTCTGCTTTTGTGAAATGTTTCTGTTTGTTACATAAGATGGATCTGAAAGTGACCATTGGGCCCCGGGGGACACAGAGACAGCATTGATTAGGGAAAGAGCTTTAAACATATGTCTGGAAGCTGACTTTGGACCAATGCCCGGTCGACTGACTCATGAAAGCAGTTATGTTGCTGCAGGCAATGACTATGGCCTTTGTTTCTCTCAATGTCGAGGCTCTGATTCTTCATGAGGAGATCTTCGAGTTGGAGCATTTGAGAACTGTGAATTTTATGTCTGTTGTTTCTTTTGAACAGTCTGCCAGGAGACCATATGGGAGGCTTTTAAAATCTTCTGGGACCGACTCCCTGAGCAACTGGAGTATGAAAGCTGGATGAAAAAATGCCAGGAAGGTACCATTACAGCTCAAGATATTTCCAACCATTTCAGCCACTCAGACGAACACCAAGATGTTGTTAAAAAGGTTTGCAGATGACTAATATTTTGTACTCGTTTATGGGAAACACTTAAATAACTATTTTTTCTCCGTTTCAGAGAGTGGCACTGACAAGTGTGAAGAGGTACATCAGATCATTTATATTCTGTGATGTGTCCAGAGACTGACGTGTGTTTGCTGTGTTTATCTGTAGTGAGCCCACCACGTCCTGGCAAACTATGTGCAGGTGAGGTTCACCACCTTACCTGTGCATATTCTTGTGCAAACCCCATAATGCATCCTGTGATTCAGACTTGGATAACCGTATATCCGAGCTCTCCATCAATGTAAACATGTGTTATTCAGAGAGATTATTTCACTGATTGATTGATCTGGCATCTGATCCGTGACCTCACACAATAGGCTCAATGTGTGGGTCTTCTTCATTTCTAACAATGACAACTAAGATACCAATGTTACTTTATGATCATATAAAACTCTACACCATATATTTATTTTATGTTTGCTATATAGAAATGTAATCGTAATCGGCCAAAACTAAGTAGACATTTAATTACACTGAATAATTACAAGAAACATACCGACATAACAGAAAATATTATGTTATGGCAAGAGCTCTGGTGTGTGTCGTCTGGTGCACACTGGGGTAGTCTTGCACAGTTTTTCCAATGTGGTTTTACTGCAAATGGCAAATAAATGAATCTGAATCTGAATATCATACCCCAAGGAGAGATGGCTGGAGAGAGAGAGGACCCTGTGCCCGCTACATGTTTTGCATAGTTGATACACCGACCAAGAACCCAAACTAGTCCTTCCCAGCTCTCTATTTCCTGGCTGTGAGGTCACTCTTCTCCTACTGGATTGGTCAGGGGGGGTCAGCGGGGGTCATTTATTAGCCAGTCAGCCCAAACCCCTAAAGGCGGGGCAAGGTCAGGAAAATCCATATCAACAATGTTTTAACTTGTTTTTAGTTTTTTTGGCTAATATGATTAACTACATCTATATGTTTACAGCAGTTCAAACCCAGAACCCCAGCCTGTTCCTGAGCCTGAGCCTGGTGAGTAACCCCAGTGATAATCCTTTTGTTCTTCTATACTTCCATAAGCCCATTATATCTTCCTCTCGTGTTGAAAGATTTAAAGACTGGGAATAGTACATACATCATTGCATATGCTCAGGGTTTTACTTAATCACTTTATATTATACTAATATTTCAACAACAGTATTTTACTTCTGATTAAAGAGAATGATTCCAAAAGGGAAAAGGTAGAGGAAGCGGCCTTCCCTCAGCTAGAGGACAACTCAGTAAGTAAAATGTACACTGTTGCAAAGGCTACAGATGCATGTGTTAAACTGGGTCTGTCGTTTGTTTTTCCTCAGCTGGATAATGACATAGCTCCAGAGTCCCCTACCTCTGTCGTCCTGGAGCAGGTTGTGGAGCTCAGCATTCTTCTGACTGGAGAGACGTTCAATGAGGAGCTCAACAACCCGGCGAGCCTCCTCTATCAAACACTCAGCCATCAGCTTACGGAAAAAGTATGTCTTATCCTATTATATCTCTCACTTTTAGCTATGCATGCAGTTTTATTTGAGGGGAATTTTAGAATGTGTTTACACTGGTTTGGTCCAGTTATGAGTCCAGTTTAATGTCGACATAGACCGTGAGTGTGAATGCAACCTGAAAGGAAGGTATTATCTGGGATTCAAAAAGCACCAAAACCCATTTGAAAACATACAAAATAATTTGTCTTGGCCCATTAATTTTATTTTCCTTTATTATTCCCACAACACTCCTTTTACTGTAAGTCAAAAGAGCTAACCATAGCGCCATCGTCTCTACCTTTCGCTCAGTTCGATATTTGTGGTCACTGCTTACAACGTCAACAGCTTTCTGAAATATTCCACCAAAAAGAAAATATGGAAAGCAGAATATCAAAGGATTCATAATTTTCATTCTTAATATAATGATACATAAAATATGTTGCCATAAAGTTGTACCTGCTGTTTTTAGTATGTTTATTGCATAAATGTACCAGTGTGTAAAGTCACTCAGTGGGTGAGAATACAGTGGTCTAAAGGTGATCACTCTCTGATGAGGCCCTGAATGTCACCCTGTATATAACTTTGCACTATGTATATAGATTTTTTGTTGTTGAAAGATTGATATTGAAGCATTTACAGCTAGCTAAGAAACATACCAGCTACAGTACATATTTTGTATTTTGTGTGCTTCCTGTGTGCTCTTACCACTGTCCTGTATGTGCGCTGCAACATTAAAATCTCCCCGTTGTGGGACGAAGAAAGGATCTCTTATCTTAAAGCTCGCAGAGCAGGTAGCGACTGTAAAAGATGAGATCTGAGGCACTCTAGACAGTACTTAAAGTCCTTTATTACAGAATGGACATCACACCATGTTGCCACTCGGTTGCTCCTGGTGTTCTAGTATGTTAACCACAAAATATTTTAAAAGGGTTATTCATATGTTGCTTACAAGTGGAGTGGTCTGTTTATAATGATGATATAATATTATGATTTAGTCATTACGCTCATTCTCATTTTTTATTTCTACAGATTGAAGATGCTTTGGAGGGACTACCCGGATTTAGACACGTGTCTGTTATGGACTTCAGGTAAGACATTTCATGCAACTACAAAATTAATATATTAATATACAATATAAATTGTCATACATTTCAACTCCTTTTGCATAGGCCCCATAAGGATTCACAGGGGTAAGTTTAAAACCTGAATTATTTGATTGAGACTGATTAGGTTCATGCTCCCTGTGCCTATTATGTCCTGCCCTTAACCCCAGTGATCCTTTTCAGGCACTACTTACTCAGTGTGTAGTGTCCGTGTGTGGGCACTGAGCACGTGGAGAGATGTGCCAGTAGTTGGCTGCGTTAATGGACTTAGTGTGGTCAGTCACCTGTTAAGTGGGATCAGGACAGGTCCAACTGAGAAACCAGGTGCTCCTTCATAGAGACGATTATCATGGCTTTAGCTCTTTGCCAGTCCGCCATAGATGACAGAGGAAAGAGTACAAAAATAAGAGGGCATTTAAGATTGTTTTTGCATCTAAATCAGATTGTTGAGAGTTGTGTTGTTTGCATAACATATATTTAAGATGTGTAGTCCCAGCCTCTGTCAAGTTCTGATCACCGAGCACAGTAGGAGCAGAATTTTGTCAAATCTTAAGGGAAAAACTGCATTTGCCTTTGAGTGTGGTCGACAGTATGCCGTCAATGCTTAGCTGTACGCCAGAAAACTTACAAAGTAGGTCAGAGTGGAGGACTCCCAGTAGTCAAATGAATGCTGATAGATTACTTTTTCCTATGTCTGGAATCTCGTGTGAGGTTTCCATGTTTATTATGATGATATTGATCATTACGCTGACTCTGCCATTTTCTGGCCTTTACAGTTGAGCAGATAAATTCCTTGTGGGACTAAATCACCCAAATCATAAGTCATCTGCAAGTGTTCTAAGCCTGATGTTAAATCAAAGTAGCACCTAAGGTTTTTGTCCTAGGTAAAGCTGCTTCTTTTATACAGGGGAATTTCCAGTTTATTTTTTGAGTAAAAGCAAGGGTGTTTAAGTTTATGATTCAATAAAAGGCTACATTTAGTGACCGCCAGATGAATTCAGGGCTATATAGATTTGGAAGAGCCCTCACATACCAAAATTGAAGATTGGATAAAACTGTTATCCCCAAACAAGATAATATCCAGAGTAAAGCCAGTAAAATTTGAAACAAGATTTCTGTGGTCATAAGAAGGTTTGTCTGTTTTTTGTTTATTTTTTCTTACATGTTTGCCTATGTGAGAAAAATCAATAAAAACTTCAATGACAAAAAATAAATAAAAGGTTTCTGTATTGTCAGGCTGGATGGTGTTGTGATGGACTACGCTGTCACCGTTGGGGTGGATGGAGCAGGAGTGACCAGCGAACAACTGGACTTTTTAACCTTGCAGTCCAATCTGGTGGAAAGCTCTTATGGTATGGTGAAGGAGCTGCCCACAATGGTGTACACTATCAGCGAGGTCAAAAACTTGGTGACGGAGGTCCTGCAGTTTGGAGACCTGGAACGTGGTAAATCCTTTTAAACCTCACATCCAACCAATAGAAAATGTTATGTGTTGACCTTACAATCACTTGAAAGCCACTTTGATATGGTAGAGAGTATACTTCTTTATCATGCTAAAGTCAGAGTTTTTATGCTAAAGATAGAGGTTTTATACTTGTTTCTTCTTCAGAGAGATTTCATTTTATTTAGTATAGGGTTATTTTTCAGTTATCTTGTGCTGTGTTGATTCAACTTTCACACTGGTAGACGAGATTAAGACACACATACTTGTCCTTCATATGGGTGTTCCAAAGTTTCTTTACAATAACATATTGTTATTGAGTCGATACTACTTCAGTATTGACAATGTGAAATAGATTATGTTAAATAATGACCTGAAATAATAACATAGTCAACCGGAATCAGCCTGTAGTTAATCTGATGCCTTCACTCGTTTCCGCAGTGTCTGACGTCCGAGAGTCTGACAACACTGAAGACGCAGCTACGGTAAGAGCTGAAATATCAAAACGGCACCCGCTCTTAATAATCACTTATCTTTAGGTACAGCTGACAGGAGCAGGAGTAATGCTGTGCTAATAGGTAGATGATGGCTGGTGATGTTGAACAAACCAGACCAGTGCAGGAAGGGATGAATGCACCAGCGAGGATGAACAGGGGCTTTGAGGATTACTTTACTCTTGCCATAATAATCCACTGCTATTTTGGGGATGGGTGGCAGTATGGCAGACGGCAGCGAGTTGATACTATGCATGTGTGTTCATTCAGACAAGCACCACCGCCATCCTCTGTCTGCAGCGTTTTACTTTTATACTGTACTTGTGGTTGATTCAGTCCTTTCTTTGTAATTACAGTTTAAATTGCAATAACGTTCTTTGTGGCTTCGTCTTACAGCTCAGTCCCCTCAGTGATTAATAGGACTCATTATATGAATTGGGAAAGTTTTACCAACTCCTCTACAGTAATTGATTCACAGGCACAAGCACAGAGCTACTGTGCCATAATAGCAAAGGGCCGGTTTGTAAGTGAACATTTAAGCTACTGTTTATTTCAGACTTTCAGACTAATTTGGTTTAAATTGGAGTGCTGACTTACCACGGTTACCACAACATATCAACATTTACATTCTTTGGAAAAGGATTTATATTCCTTATTGTTTTTTCCAACGGACATTTAGATTGAAATTGTGGGTTGATGTTTTTTAATTTATCAGATGAAGTTTTGGCACTATTGTTGTTTATGTCTCTGTATTTTAGTACTGTAATGGTTAAGTTAATCAATTTGTCACAATTTAATCTTTTTTTTTTATTGTTAACTACTATATATACAAACTTAAAAAGTGCAGGCACTGTGAGACCTACTTTTATGACTCAAACAGAGCAGTAACTAAAGAAGATTGGTTTTTAATGATATAACGGGACAATGATATTAGGATGTCCTTCAGTGGCTTCACTTCACCTTAATCTGTGTCAAATTGAGAAAAAAACTCCTCATATTTAAAAATATAATAACTACAGTAATCAATTGATTGAAAGTTCAAGTTTACGCTATACATTAGTCTATCACTAATTTATATTGAATTGAAAACTTTACAGCTCACAGAGGACACTGAAGATATAGAAGATAATTCCCTACCTGCAATTTTTGAAATCAGCACCGTGGGAACGACAGGAAATGATGCGATTGTTCCGGAGGAGAGCGCAGTGGAAGCTCCTGAGGTTCTTCTGACCACTGCCGCACCTGCCTCCAGTAAGTGTCTGCATTTTGATTGAAAGAGTTATTTTTTGGTAGTTTATTGTTCTTAATTTATTTCAGTACTTTCTTGTTACAATTATTTTGTAAAGAGGTAGGAAAAAAGGAAAAAATATTGTTTTTCTTTCCCCCAGGCGTAATTTTAGATAGTGATATGGTGGAAGACACTGTACACACTCCTGAGGTAGAAAAGCATGACATCACCTCCTTGTCTGAGCCACCGCAGGAGGTTGAGGCTTCGGGATCAGATGCTGAAAATCTGAATGATCTTCTCAGGACTCCCATAATAGAAGAGGTGCCTTTTGAGGAGACGGCTCAGACTGCCGATATAAATCCAGAGGATATGGAAACAGGAGAAGTGAAGGTAGCGGAAGTAGTGCCAACTCTAATGCATATTCCAGTTCTGGAAGAACACCATCTAGAGGAAATGACAGAATCAGACGTTGACCTGGAGCCCTCCACAATCACCACAGCCATCGACGAAGAAGGCCTGGCTTCATTTGTCCCTGATCCTGAAGTTGTTGAACTGGCAGGTGGGATGGCCCAGCCAGAGGAGAGTGAAGGTGCTTTACTTCCAGACAATGAACTTCCAAAAGAGGAAGAGGTGAAAGATCTCTCCACTGACGAAGAGGAGGAGGACAGCGTGTTGCCTATTCCTGATGAGGTTGTCATTGAGGAGAGCAAACCACCTGTGACCGATGAAAAGACAGAGGAGCCTATAGATTCAGCTGAGGACATTCCAGAGGCTCCGAAGATCTCAACAGAAGATCTGACAGAGGATGGGATTATACTGGTAAACGTAGATGAGTCTGTAAACTCTGAGCAGCCAACTGTTCTTTCTCCAGAAAAAGAGTCTCCATTCACACGTATCTCAGATCCTTCTTCAGACGTGCAACCTGAAATCATCATCACCTCAACTGTGGAGGTAAATCAAATTACATTCAAAATATTCATTAATGATGTATCTTTTTTCATGCAGTTAAACATGTTGTAATGTATTTTCTCCCCCAGATTCAGGACTCCGAGGTGAACTTGGATGCAGACGATGGCTTTGAGCTGATTCATTATGGTATATTTAACCACACAGAGGAGGGCAGCACAGGGCTACCATTCGATGGAGCCCTGGGGACAGATCACTCCAGCATTGCCATGCCTGCGAATCCAGGCCGCGCTCTCATGGTGTTCTTCAGCCTGCGTGTCACCAACATGATTTTCTCAGAGGACCTCTTCAACAAAAGCTCTGCAGAGTACAAAGCCCTGGAGCAACGGTTCCTTGAACTGGTATTATATTATATCTATGTTTACTGTAAATTATTAGTATTCTTTCAGAGTTACGTTACTTTCATGCATAATGAATATTTTCCAGCTTGTACCTTACCTGCAGTCCAATCTCAGTCACTTTGAGAACCTCGAGATCCTCAACTTCAGGAATGGAAGCATTGTTGTTAACAGCAGAATGAAGTTTGGGAAACCTGTTCCACAAGAGACAACCACAGTGGTCTATTTAATCCTGGAGGATTTTTGTAACACGGCCTACCAGACCATGAACCTGGCTATTGATAAATACTCTCTGGATGTGGAGTCAGGTTAGTCTTGGATTTATTTAGTTCCTTTCATGATTTGCCTGTTTCAGAGAGCCTATTAAGTGGGAATCTCGTGTTTTCCCATGGGTCATTAGTATGAGATGTCATGTGGCCCCGAAATTTTTAACTTGCAATGTTTAAGCATTGATGGTAAGATGGGCCACTACGGCATGTTCCCATTTTAAAGTTAATTATCTCACCAAAACAACTATATCATCTTGAACATACACACAATTAGTAATAGATATTGAAAAAGTATTTATGGGCCTATCAGAATACAAAAACAAGCCCCCTTTACCCATTGTCCAGTTTCCAAAAATGACTGAACTTATTTTGTTTAGAAGAATCTACCAAAAAATTATATCCAAACTCATGTTAAATAAAATCCTTTTGTCAAAAAATACTACATATATATAATATAAAATAATCACAGATGATTAAACAAGCTTGTTGCCAAACAATGCAGACCTTAGTGTAAAAGTATAGTTCCACAACCAGCAGTCAACCATTGTCATTGCGTGAATACATTTTTATTTTCTCTATCAAAAAATAAAATGTATTTGCAACTGGACAATAATTGCTCCTATCCTCAAAGCCTGAAAGCAAACTCTTAACGTCAACCCATTCATATGAAATAAAAGTCACCTCTCTCCTGCGATAGACGTGGAAGAAATGATGTGGTTCCCGTGGCTCACAATGTTAAACCAAATCAAACAGCCTAATCGTAATTATAGAAAACTATGTATAGTTTCAATAGTGTCATATATCCATTATGGATTTTCATATAATGACATAATATTATGTATCTTTATTTTAGAAAGCTGATTTAGAATTTGATTGTTATTGTACAGTGCCTTGCGAAAGTATTCGCAAGGTTCAACGCGAAATGTTGAACCTTTCAACATTTTGCCACATTTCAGTCTTCAAACATAAAGATATAAAATTTTATTTTTTTGTCATGGATCAACAACAAGTGGGACACAATCGTGAAGTGGAACAAAATGTATTGGATAATTTAAACTTTTTTAACAAATAAAAAACTGAAAAGTGGGGCGTGCAATATTATTCGGCCCCTTTACTTTCAGTGCAACAAACTCACTCCAGAAGTTCAGTGAGGATCTTTGAATGATCCAATGTTGTCCTAAATGACTGATGATGATAAATAGAATGCACCTGTGTGTAATCAAGTCTCCGTATAAATGCACCTGCTCTTTGATAGTCTCAGGGTTCTGTTTAAAGCGCAGAGAGAACCATGAAGACAAAGGAACACACCAGGCAGGTCCGAGATACTGTTGTGGAGAATTTTAAAGCCGCATTTGGATACAAAAAGATTTCCCAAGCTTTAAACATCTCAAGGAGCACTGTGCAAGCAATTATATTGAAATGGAAGGAGTTTCAGACCACTGCAAATCTACCAAGACCTGGCCGTCCCTCCAAACTTTCATCGCAAACAAGGAGAAGACTGATCAGAGATGCAGCCAAGAGGCCCATGATCACTCTGGATGAAGATGGGAGAGTCTGTCCATAGGACAACAATTAGTCGTGCACTGCACAAATCTGGCCTTTATGGAAGAGTGGCAAGAAGAAAGCCATTTCTCAAAGATATCCATAAAAAGTCTCGTTTAAAGTTTGCCACAAGCCACCTGGGAGACACACCAAACATGTGGAAGAAGGTGCTCTGGTCAGATGAAACCAAAATCTAACTTTTTGGCCACAATCCAAAACTATATGTTTGGCGTAAAAGCAACACAGCTCATCACCATGAACACACCATCCCCACTGTCAAACATGGTGGTGGCAGCATCAGGGTTTGGGCCTGCTTTTCTTCAGCAGGGACAGGGAAGATGGCTAAAATTGATGGGAAGATGGATGGAGCCAATTACAGGACCATTCTGGAAGAAAACCTGTTGGAGTCTGCAAAAGACCTGAGACTGGGACGGAGATTTATCTTCCAACAGGACAATGATCCAGAACATAAAGCCAAATCTAAAATGGAATGGTTCACAAATAGACGTATCCAGGTGTTAGAATGGCCAAGTCAAAGTCCAGACCTGAATCCAATCGAGAATCTGTGGAAAGAGCTGAAGACTGCTGTTCACAAACGCTCTCCATCCAACCTCACTGAGCTCGAGCTGTTTTGCAAGGAAGAATGGGCAAGAATTCCAGTCTCTCGATGTGCAAAACTGATAGAGACATACCCCAAGCGACTTGCAGCTGTAATTGCAGCAAAAGGTGGCGCTACAAAGTATTAATGCAAGGGGCCGAATAATATTGCACGCCCCACTTTTCAGTTTTTTATTTGTTAAAAAAGTTTAAATGATCCAATAAATTTCGTTCCACTTCACGATTGTGTCCCACTTGTTGTTGATTCTTGACAATTTTTTTGTTGTTTTATTTTTATATCTTTATGTTTGAAGCCTGAAATGTGGCGAAATGTTGAAAGGTTCAAGGGGGCCGAATACTTTCGCAAGGCACTGTATATGAAATATAAAAATGTTTGACCAAAGGTTGCTTGTACTCTAACTAAGCTAGGTAGGGACTCGGGAGTACACTGAAAAAAAATGGTTCGGGACCACATGTTATAGTCTGTAGCCTTATCTGCCCTGGAGATAGTCTTCCAAATGCACAATTCCTCACTATAGTCAGCCTTATGACAGTGGACTGATCAGAGCGGCGTGTTCATGGACCAGAGCCATTCCAAGATATGTCTAATAGAGAGTTGTATTGTTTTTGTAGTAACATGAGATGAGACGGTGCTTGGAAAGTCTATTGTGACTCATGTATCATTACTGTGTGCAGCTGTCACACTTTGCTTCAGACAGTTACTTTGACCCCAACGGTTTAATTTCTCTGCTATAGGCCTGAGAAAACCTAATTATCAATACACTAAACAGCCTACTTAATATCTGTAATCAAATATAATCTATTGTGTCCTAGGTGACCAGGCAGATCCTTGTAAGTTCCAAGCCTGTAACGAGTATGCAGAATGCAAAGTCAACAAATGGTCGGGCGAGGCGGAGTGCGTGTGTGACGCAGGTTACTTCAGTGTGGATGGACTGCCCTGTCAGAGCATCTGTGAGCTCCAGACTGACTTCTGCCTTAACGATGGCAAATGTGACATCATTCCTGGTCAAGGAGCCATCTGCAGGTGGGTGAGCTCTACAAACAACTCAAAGTACTATGTGCATTGACTAAGTCTAACCCCTTTTCTCCGGGTGGTGGAACCTCATCTGCTCCGGCGTTGTGCTGTACATACACGACAGTAGCCTGTAACTTAGACATTTGCATTTGAAAACAGTATCATCTCTGGAGGCAAATACAACTCTAGGTGGAACAAGAATAAAGTGAATTTATTTGCTGATATTATCACCACACACTTAAACAAAAATTCAACAAAAACCCATTGAGCTGTTTTGCTCGGCACGCTCACTTGACCTCAGAGGCAGCTCTACCTGGAGGATCTGCGGCTCTGTACAAACAGGGGGCCAATCCGGACTTGACTCAAGGGGCCTGGAAGAATGATCTCTGTGTCGTAAATTTGTTAAAGGCTTGAGTCTAATCCTGGATCCAGACGATGTTATCTCCAACATCAAACAATTTGTTAATTGTCCCGTTATGGGGATTTACTGAAAATGTACCCATAAGTTACGAATGTGAGTTATGTTCCTAATTAGCTAATAAATACACAAACCTGCTTGGTCGAACTTTTATTTTCATATAGTTTTTATGTTTTGATTACAGATGCCGTGTGGGAGATAACTGGTGGTACCGAGGAGAGCATTGTGAGGAGTATGTGTCCGAGCCGCTGGTGGTGGGCATCGCAATAGCCTCTGTGGCGGGCTTCCTGCTGGTCGCCTCTGGAGTTATTTTCTTTTTGGCCAGAACTTTACGAGATCAGTATGACAAGGATGAGTCTGAGGAGCCTGTACGGTAAGCGGCACTGACTGTCCATAATCAAATCCCATTGTTAAAGAGCGACTTTTTAAGTGTTAATATGTATATTTATCTTTAATAAATACATTTGCATTGTATGTCAAATTAAAATACATTTGTACAAACCACTGTTTGTACATTGTCAAAAATGGCCCTGTAAAAAAACAATCTGCAACTTGTATACCTACTGACCGCATTGTCCATCTAACATAAAATGCAATGCTGAATAAGACCTTCCGGGACAATGCACTTTGTGATCCGATAAAGCCTGTCACTGGCATAAACAAAGAGGTTGAAAGGTTTAGGAGGTTAATTGTCAGCCGTATCCTCTGATCATAATCTCGCTTGTGTCTTTGCCAGTGTTACTTACTGGACTGTTTTGGGCTTTGTGTTGTCACCTTTTAGTCAAGTGGAGAGTTTGCCGTCTATGGAGAGAGCCACCAAGTACAACCCCATGTATGAGAGTGAAGCCACCACAGGATACAGCCATTATTACCGGCGGTACCCAGACGTGCCAATGTACAGCAGCGCCAGTGCAGAGGCCTCCACTGACTTCAGCAGTGAGGAAATCAGGCACATCTATGAGAACAGTGAACTCACCAAAGAGGTACACTTAAGCCACTGAACAGTCATGCTATAGCTCCATCTGTGCTCCATTCAACTCATGTTTGGGGGGTTTCTCCAATCTTTCAGGAAATCCAAGATAGGATAAGGATCCTGGAACTCTACGCCAAAGACCGCCAGTTTGCTGACTTTGTCCGGCAGCATCAAGCGTGAGTGTTCATCACAAGATACAAGAGCTAAAGCCACGTTTGAGGTTCAAATCAGAGAAATCAATGTGTAACAAGTTAAAGCTTGTTACACATTGTTGAAGTTAAAGACAAGCATGTTTTTCTGTCTTTTACTTTATAAACCGTTACGAATGCCAAAGTATTATGATTAGGTTTCCTCTTCAAATGTAACTGAAATTCAACAAAACGTTCAGATTCAATGTAAATATGACTTTGGTGTTGTTGCAGTGTCATAGATACTCGAAGAGAAAGCTCCTCTGTCCACACATGAAACCTGGAGTCAAGGTAACAAAAGTTTAACCTAATGTGTTTCTTTTGGCTACAAATTTCTTACAAAAAACAATATTACAATCAGCTTTATGTGTGTCTTCTGTCAAGACCCTCTGGACTATTAAGAACTTCCTCTTTCCTCTGTGCCTTCACTCATCGGAGTGAGCTTTTTGTGAAAACCCATTTGCTGCTCAACTTATGGACCTGTCTTTTTGGAAACTACAGATCACATCCTTCTACTTGATTCATTTATGCTTATGGGATCATTTCCACACTTAACAAAGTTCATGCTAATATTTTGTACATGAATTAGTTTTTAGTACATGATACTGTACCGGCCATCTAAAGGCAATGTGGAGACTATGGTGCAACACAACTTTGAATACAATTCTAAAATGTGATGATTTTCAATGACTTCTGTAAAATAATGTAAAAATCTATTTTTTTGTTTCAAAAATATGTATATGATTAAATATAGTATATGAGCACTTCATATTAAAAAGGTCAATGGAAGAAAATTAGTAGCCGGTTATTCCTGCTTCCTTATGGGCTCATTTAATCATAAGCCTTGTGTGTTTGTGAATATTAGTAGCCTTCTAGCCTTCAAAAGAGTGGAACAAAAGTAAAAGATGATGGCAGAGCGACTGTCTATAGCGCTGGGATTTAGAAGTAAGTGAAAACACATTTTAGTGGAAAAATGCTTCAGGGCAAGTAACTCAAATCGTCTGCATTCAGATGCCATATGTAATGAAGAAAACTGAAAGAACAGAAAAAGTGACGAACATTTTTTTGCTCCCAGAAAAGTATGCCTGCTTGTCAAAACTCCACAATCCACTTTGGCCTTTGAGGACTTGGCCCTGACGACATGCAACAATGAGCCGGATCGATTGTTTCTTTTGCTGTTGTGATGTGGTCCTCTGCTGATCTGTCTCCGGACACATCTGCAGCCTGTTATAACAGTCTGTACCATTTGGCGTGTTTGCAGCCAATGTGATGGTCAGTTTATGAAGGTCAAAATCAGATGCGTAGATAATGGTATAGCGTCTTGTTTACATTTCATGCTTCCCTCCTGATACACAAGGGGAGATACTGTCTGTAACAGGGTCATGCCTTTTGCAGCTTGCATGTTGTTTTTGTTCTCTCTACTTTCACACTCTCACAAGGTCATTGATAGCATGTGAGCACTGTCATTTTAATTATGTTTAAAATGAATGATCTCGCCATCTTTTTATACACCTTGTACTTGTTCAACTTGTTCAAAAATAAACGTTTTTTGTTTGTTAATCAAACTTAATGTCGTTTTTTACCTCTTGAGTGATACATTGGCTTCTTCCATTGTGAAAGGTGTTTAGCCGCAGGAAGATAATCCAAAGAAGATTAAAGCTGATGAGTATGGATTAGGCTTGTCTGTGGCCATGGCGGTTTCTAAAAGAGCACGGAGCAGTAATCGCCTGCGTCACTGTGCCAGGATGTGGCAGTCACCAGAAGGTCACTGTGTAAACACTGGTGAGACACATACGGGTGTTTTTAATTAAATGGAAATGTTGTGGTATTGTAGTATTAAAAATAAATTAACCAGGCAGAGACGTGTAGTTGCTCCAGTTCGTCCTTTACTTCTCTTTCAGCATTCAAAATCTCAACCGTCCGTATTACCTTGCACGTGAGCTCCCTCTGGTGGTTACATACAATATAGCAGGCAACACAACATTTCCCCTTTTCTGAAACATTTGCTTATTACAAATGGAACATTGGTACTGTATGCAAACAGCAAAATAAAAGTATATTACCAACGGTAAGATGTATTTCTAACCGCATTTACATCAGTTGTAATAAAACAAAAAAACAATAGTATTTAGAACTGTAATACTATTTTACATCGTAATGAGCAATTCCCGACTTTCATCTTCTCACAAAACCTGTCAACCATCTAGGAGGGTTTCTCGACCGCTGGCTACGTCTAAGAGATGGATTAGGTAAGTTTTGATTTTCAGGCATTGCAAAAGAATCAAGTACATTATTATTTTGTTCATGTTCAATGGATGTTAACACTTGTTTTGGGAAGTGAGCAAGTTTAGAAGCATTCCACTTGCGCCCATCACTCAGGAGATAAGTGTTTTGTCCGACTTTCCTCATTACAGTCCGTGGTTCTGTGTATTTGGATGATCCTTTAGGAACATGCTCTGGTCTACGAACACGTACAGAGTCATTCACTTTGAAGGTAGGTATTTTTGCTCCCCTTCTCATATCTGTGTATTCTTTCATTCTGTTTTGTTTTCTTTCCACTGTTTCTTGGATTTGTGCCTGAGTTTTACTTTTATTTGCAACTGGCAGAATGTCTAGTTTGGTGCGCATTTTCCTGTTACGGAGAAGCTCAAATGGAGTTGCACCAGTAGTTGCATGCGGAGTAGCTCTATAGTTATGCAGAAACTCAGTAACTGCTTCTTTCCAAGGTCTACGGCTTCTTTCTGTTGTCTGTATGCATTCTTTCAGTACTCGATTAAATCGCTCAACAGCACCATTTGCTTTTGGATAATACACACTAGATCTTAGGTGCTGTATCTCTCTCTCTCTCAGAAAACTTGCAAATGCGTGTGAAGTAAACTGGCACCCGTTATCTGAGACTAGGAAACTTGGATTACCCTCTCTACTGAATACTGTGGCTAAAAAACGAAGAATAACATCTGTCGTGACGGTAGAGGCAAACGCAACCTCAGGCCATTTGCTGTAGTAGTCTGTAAGTACAATGGCATAACGACAGTCCCATGTAGCATTTTCAAATGGACCCGTTATGTCTATTGCAACTTTTTCCCATGGCTTACTCGGGAGTGCAACTGGTGTAAGTGGTGCAGGAGCAGTAACAGCCACTTTATCACTGAACTGGCAATTTACACAGGAGGAAATGACACTATGCACTAGTTTATCTAGTTGAGGCCACCAGTAAAGCTCGCGTATTCTCTGTTTAGTACGGACTATACCTTGGTGTCCCTCATGTGCCAAATCAACAACTCTGGCCCTGAGTGCACTAGGAACGACTAAACGATCTGTCCCTCTCATCACAAGTGAATCGTGTACAGAAAGTTCATCTCGTACCTGATAATATGGTGCAATTTCAACTGGTACACCTTTCTTAGATTTGGACCAGCCTCTCTCAATCTGCTGACGTAACATTATTAGTTCAGGGCAACTTTCACTGGCAGTAGTGAAGTCTGAAACAGAAATGGCAGAAAGTGACTCTTTAAATACAGCAGCAATCATGTCTGGTTCATCCGTGCCCTCGTTTGTATCAGTCAGTGGCAGTCTAGAAAGGCAATCTGCAGTCACATTTAGATGACCTGGGCGGTAAGCAATGTCATAGGTGAAACAAAGCAAGCGGGCAGACCATCTGGCTATTCTCAGTCCAGCACGTCCGGCTCCCTTCGAGGTAAGCAGGGTTGTAAGGGCCTGGTGGTCCGTGCGTAGAACAAAACGGTGTCCCCAAAGGTAGGTTCTCCACCTTTCCACAGCCCACACACAAGCAAGTGCTTCACGTTCCACAGTAGAGTATTTGCGTTCTGCAGGGGAGAGCGTTCGTCGGGATGCAAAAGCCACAACTCTCTCATTTTCACCTGCATGCATTTGTGTCAGTACCGCACCCAGTCCATAGTTAGAAGCATCTGTAGTAACATAGGTTGGCAATTCGGGGTCGTACAAAGCTAGCGCAGGACTGTTAACTATTAGCTTTTTTAGAGCAGTGAAACTAGCTTCGGCTCCAAATGACCACCTGAAGTTCAAATCAGTGGACTCCCTGAGCACTGCACGTAGTGGCTCAGCAACTGTAGCAAAATCTGGAATGAATTTACCATACCAAGAGGCAAGACCTAGGAATGACCTCAGCGACGTAGTATCATGGGGTGCAGGAGCATTTGTAACTGCTGTAAGTCTTTCCTGGTCAGGGTTAAGTCCATGTTTTGAAATAGTATGTCCCAAATAGTTTAGCGATGACTGGTTAAACTTGCATTTGTGCATGTTTAGTTGTAAGCCGGCATTCGTCAAGGCATGTAACACTCTGCGTAAATTGTCATCATGCTCTTCTTGTGTTACACCATAGCATATAATGTCATCTAAGTAAGCCTGTACACCTGGAAGTCCCGAAAGAACGATTGACATCATCTTTTGAAAGGCAGAAGGCGCTGAAGCTAGGCCAAACGGTACCCTGCAAAAACGGAAAAGTCCTTCATGAGTGACAAATGCAGTAATATCACGACTCTCAGGATGCAGTGGCATTTGGTGGTAAGCAGAGGCCAAATCAATGGTGGAGAAAACCGTAGCTCCTCGTAGGTTTGAGAAGAGTTCATCCATGTGTGGTAAGGGGTAGCAGTCTGCAACAATAGCCTTGTTTGGCTCCCTCAGATCCACACACATACGAGGTTTCCCACTATCCCTCCTCTGTGTAACTACTATAGGAGAGACCCAGGGGGAAGCATCAATCCGTTCTATGATTCCCTTGTCTTGGAGATCTTTAATTTCCTCTGAAACCGCTTGTCTCACTGAAAATGGGAGTCTCCTCAGTTTTTGTTGTACTGGTACAGCATTAGGCAGCATTCGTATTTTGTGTACAAAATTTCTAGCACAGCCTATTTCCTGAACTAGAACTTCAGTATAATCTGGTTCAGTGTTTGACACAGTAGCAGTAGTAGCCTTTTGAGGCTGGTAAGGGACAGTAGCCACCACTTTCCTACCTTGTAGTTTCATTTGTAAGGCCTCAAATAAGTCTAAGCCAAGTAAAGCTGCACCTGACTCAACCACAACTAAAGTCCCCACAGTAGAATGACCATCATGCATAATAGTTGCTTTTAAGCACCCGTTTACAGTTATTTTCTCTTTAGCATATGTAACAAGTGCAAATGTAGGTTCAGTAAGCACACATTTTGGAAATAAAGTGTGGCAAGTGCTCATAGGAATAATAGAAACAGAGGATCCTGTATCTACAATCAGCTCAACGTCCTTACAATGTCCATCCACCGCCACTTGTACAGTGCAGAGAATTTTATCTTGGGCAGCATTGTTCACGTAGAGAACTGTAGGTTCATTGATCACAACTTCACGTACCTCCTTTTGGTTTGAACGGCACACGCGTGAAAAATGTCCCACTTTACCGCAATTGTTGCAAGTAGATTTTACAGCAGGACATCCAGGGCTGTTGGCAAGATGAGCAGTAGATCCACATCGGAAACAGGACCGCTGGTTACCGGGCATCTGTTTCTTTGCAGGAGCGGGAGAAGGCTTCTTCTTTTCCCAGCGTCGACTTGACTTTGGCTGCGTATGTAAAGCCCGCACCGGAGCCGCAGCTGCCATAGCGTTAGCATCAGAGAGGACGGTAGCATCTCACAATCCACTCTCTATTTGCAGTGCTAATCTAACGGCTTTAGCAAGATTCAGGTCCGGCTCAAGTAACAGTCTGTCTCTTATGCGAGTATTAGCAACACGCTCAATTAACTGATCCCGTAGCATTTGTTCCTCCATATTCCCAAAATCACATGCAGCAGCTAACTCACGCAGTGAAGCTAGGAACTGATTAACCGTCTCATCTGGTCTCTGGGCTCTTTGTCGAAACCTGTGCCGCTCAGCAATGACGTTCACCTTTGGCACAAAATAGCCCTTCAGTGCAGTAATAGCAGTGTCATAAGTAGTACCAGTATCAGGCAATGTGTAGAAAAGCCTTTGGCCCTCGGTCCCGAGAGCATGAAGTAGAACCGCGCGTTTTCTTTCTTCAGGCCAGCTATCCCCTGTAGCCGCTATCACCAGCATGTAGTTCTCGAACATTTTCAGCCATGTTGTAAACGGTATCGCTGGCTCTCCAGGGCAGGGCATAAATGGAGCAGGCAAGGGTACAGAAATAGACATCCTCGTCGCCAAAAATGTGGTATTGTAGTATTAAAAATAAATTAACCAGGCAGAGACGTGTAGTTGCTCCAGTTCGTCCTTTACTTCTCTTTCAGCATTCAAAATCTCAACCGTCCGTATTACCTTGCACGTGAGCTCCCTCTGGTGGTTACATACAATATAGCAGGCAACACAACAAATGTATTTTGAATTCAAAAGTGGCAAGACAAACTGCAAAACTTTATGCATGTTATCAGCAACTGAATCAGACAGGACTCCTATCTAGTTAAGCTGGGGTAACCTTCAAAGCACTACAAATTTGCTATATAATAAACTCCATGTCACGAGTTTCTGGCTCCAAACAGTTTAGATCAGGGGTCTCAAACTTTTTCAATCGGAGAGCTACTTTTATACAACAGAAGAGGCAGAGAGCTGCTCCCTTTTGCAGGCGTAACATAAATCGATGAAATAATTATGACACAATATGGAAAACGCCCAAATATACCATAATACTGTATAACCCTATATGTATACGTATAATAGAGGTAAGGATACAAAAGTGAATCATTCAAGGTCATGTGTTGAATTCTAGATCCTTTGGAGAGCTACCTGAAAGGGGCTGGCGAGCTACTGGTAGCTCCCAAGTTACATGTTGGAGACGCCTGGTTTAGATCTATCCCTATTGTTATCACATGCACGTGTTTTTGGCCTCTATCAGTTAAGTACCCCAGCTTTAAAGTTACTGAAGGCAATGATCCTAAAGCATTACGCCATTAAGACAATGTACTTTTGTCTTGTGTTACCAATTAATTTCACATTTATGTCTCGGTGGAGCAGGGCATTGAGTGAATAAGGACAAGCATTCATTCAGAGGGGAAATCATTACTGCGCACTGACAGGTTTACTTGTAATGTGCTCGCGCTGCGTGGGGAAGACTTGGACGAAGACAAGGGAACAGATGAGGTATCCCACAGTCAAGTACTTTCTGCAGCAGGTGGGGAGAAGTTTCTGAGACTAAGAAGAGCATCTGCCTTCCACTGACTAGTCCAAATTCACGCCGTATAATTCGTGGCAGCGTACGTCCTCATGGGTCCCACCTCTGGAAAGTACATGGAAACTGAAAAATGATGAAAAAGTCATTGCAGAGATGGACTTGTGCAGAACTTCAATACATGAGGCATGAGGAGATAATTTATCAATCATGAGAAAGTGGAGCAGATGCTGGTGTAACTGATGAGGTCTTAAGGAATTGTACTAAAGTAAGAGTGCAGATAATTCTTTGAGATATTTTTTACATATTAAGTGACAAAAAGTAGCCCAAGAGCATACACAAAATGTAACCTATGGTAAAGGAGACATTTTGTGCAAAAACATCTTTTTGGGGCTTTTAACCAGGTTTCTTCCTCATCAGAAACAGACCCGGAGTTGTTTTTAGTTGCCTCAAACATGTAACTCTGCCTCCTCTGTAAGCTCTTGTCTCAGTCCTGTACTATGACGTCATTGTCCCACTATGACATCACTTTAAAACAGCATTTTAAAGTGAGTTTGCAGCCGGAAAAAAATGCAATTACACCAAAGAGAGTACAAAAGTAACTCATTGTCAATACAATTTGCTTATTCATCTCTTAGTTTGTTGAAAACTTCAAAATTATCATTTGGTTTACATTGTATTAAAAATAATTAACGGCAGACAAAAGCTGGAGTTAGATCCTACTCAAGAGTGAAGCAGTATAAATTTGACGAGAATAGATCATTTTTGGATTCTATTAAAATGTGTATTTGATTGAAAATGACCAATTTCGCACAACATGTAAAAGATACTAATACCACAAAATCATAGATGAAATACTTTTGATGCAGCAAGCTAATACGATCAACATAGATCTATCAGTGGAACTTTATAGACATAAAACATTCCGACACCACCATTTATAACCCCAGTCCATTATAAATCAGTGCTCCTGTTTTATAATAAACTTGCTTTATTTTTACTTGGGGTTTCTAAGGGAACCATTGTTGTGTTTTTTTTGCTCCCTCGACAAAAGGGCCATAAATATGTCTGTGAATTACACCAGATGCTTCAATCATAGCTCAAGTCAAGTTACCATTTGAGATTTAGGGAGTTGGGGAGTTAGACCATTTAAAAGTCTTCGCTTCTGAAGTCTACTTGAGTGGGAGAGACAAAAAGGATAAATAGGCCTTGTCATGTTATCCCGACTAAAACACATCAGACGTTATGAGTACGTAAGGGAATCTGTGTTTGGATAGTACAAATTCATTGACTCAAATAATTTCCTGTTGCCCGCTTTGGCACAGGAGCATTACACAGCCATAAGCCTGCTGAGGTGTTATTTGATATCTCTATAAGCTTGGTCCCCCCTGGCCTGTGCATACCCTTGTTAAGTGTCTTATAAAGGTCCACTGATTTATGAGCAGATAAATGACAGACTGAGCTGGAAGTGCAACCTTGGCCCTGACCAATACTGTGTGGAGCTATGCAATGCAAACCTCAAAGCATGAGGTTTACCTGTGTGTTTCCCATCACTGTGAGCTAAAGCAGTGCATACAATCTTGGCAAGGTTACGGCCTTTAACTCGTTTAGCTCACAGCAATTAATGTCTGTGTGAGTGTGTCATTAGGAAAAAAAGAGAAAAATGGTGAATAGGGAGGAAAAATGCAGGCAGCACGTGTCTGGATGAATGCAGGGTTTTGGGCCCACGTGCGTCTCTCCAATTGTTGAAATTGTTGTAGTTATGGGTGAGCAGGAGTTCAGTGGCTGATAGAAGTGTGCAAACCATCATCTGCTTATTCCCAGCCAGAACTCGTGCACGGATCTCAGGCCCAAAGCTGTCTGACAGAAAGAAGAAAGTACAAAAAAAATAAGCATCCACATTTTAGGTCTGTTGCTCTCATGCTTTGTGAAATACAAACATATTTTAGAGACAGTATTTGACTTTAGGCCCCAGCAGTCATTATCTATAATTCAATAAGTCAATGAAGTGACAGCTTTGATGGAAGATTTTGACATTTATTAGAAATATTGAACTTGAGAAAATTCAGGACATGAATAATACAAATTAAAGTAATAGACAATTGTAGCTAAATCTTTGTAATCACGTAATGTCTAATGAGCCCTATACAGTCATATACTTTTGTAGCGCAAATCAAACCCTGACCGATAGTAAATAAAAACAAAATGTACTATTCTCTCCATGGCCTCGCACCAAAATATATTTGACATGTTAGTACCATATGAACCAGCCCGGACTCTAAACTCTGAGGAGCACAGGGACTGGACTCCTGTTAGTGCCCAGAGTCAAGACTAAACATGGGGAGGCTGGATTTCAGATTAATGCTGCTAAAATCTGGAACAATCTTCCTGAAGATGTGAGACAGGCCTCCTCTCTGACAATGTTTAAAACCAGGTTAAAAACAGTTCTGTTTATCTGTGCATACAACTGAGGGATTTTATATTTTTATCTTTCTTTTTAATGTACCGTGATTATTTATGATTTTAATGCTTTCTTGTTTTGTTCAGCACTTTGAGTTGCCTTGTGTATGAATTGTGCTATACAAATAAACTTGCCTTGCCTTGCCTAATGTCAAAAATCGCTGTTAGCATTATTGATTAGCATTATTGTTTAACATTACTGATTAGCATTATTGTTTAACATTATTGATTAGCATTATTGTTTAACATTACTGATTAGCATTATTGTTTAACATTACTGATTAGCATTATTGTTTAACATTATTGATTAGCATTATTGTTTAACATTACTGATTAGCATTATTGTTTAACATTACTGATTAGCATTATTGTTTAACATTACTGATTAGCATTATTGTTTAACATTACTGATTAGCATTATTGTTTAACATTACTGATTAGCATTATTGTTTAACATTATTGATTAGCATTATTGTTTAACATTACTGATTAGCATTATTGTTTAACATTAACATTACTGATCAGCATTATTGTTTAACATTACTGATTAGCATTATTGTTTAACATTATTGATTAGCATTATTGTTTAACATTAACATTACTGATTAGCATGAGCCGCGCAGTGCACGTGCGCTACACGCCACTTCGTCATGAGCGAAAACTGCACAACATCTGTTAGGATTTAGCAGACAGAGACGGATCGTGGTGCGCCAAACTCTGGAAGTTTATTTAAGTTTCTCTCAAGTTCCACTGGTTTACTCTGTTTCTTTCTCCCAGACAGAATAAAGGCAGTACACAGTTTATATAGTCATTGTCACGTCACACATCGAAAGACATACGTGTCACAAAGAGACAGTCAAATCATAGTCATAACATGGAGTCCTTGTAGAGTCCTTGTACAGTCCTGCACGTAGGCCATATTGCTATCTAATACTAACACCCTCCCCTTTGATCACATAATCACATGTGATCACTCAAATCGATCAATCAATAAAGTGGAAAAAGAAAAAAAAAAAATCAA